CGCATCCTGCGGCTTTTCTATCGCATTACGATTTAGTGCTGCTTATTACATACACAGCAAAAATGGGGTCTTAAGTAAAAGACTAAATACAATTTAACAATTTGATGGATATAATAGAATACCAAGTATAAATGTTCCAAAAGTTGTCCCTAAGAATAATTGAATTTTTACCTAAAATAAATAATGAAAAATTGATAATAAAAGGTTAATTAGATTTTTGTAGTCACCATGAATATTCTATTTAATTCTGTTAGGCAACTACAGATTGCTGCAAGTCGCACAAATATTATACTACAGTCAATTAACAGCTTTCATATCAAAAGCGAATTCAAGTTATTTAATTTTAAAGCTTCTCTAGTGGATAGAAAATTGAAATTTAATTTTCTTTGTGTGTAAGCGATTTGCAGCATTTTTTAACCTTAGCTGCAAGCCATTTGCCATTTCCATGCAGTCCATGTAGCCGCCATTCCTCAGCTCTCGCACACATGCAGGCAATTTGCTAATGTGTACGTGCAGGACCTGACTCCTGCCACAAAGAAATTAAGGGGCTCGGTGGCGAAGGGTTTGCGATTGGCAAGGACGCAGGCCACAATGCGATAAGGGAGACCATAAAGCAGACGAAAGCGGAATGTACAACAAGGCTGATAAGTGGGCGTGGGCCGGTGAATAAAAGAGTAAAGTGAGTAAAGTTTTGCAGCGGATTCAAAAGTTTTCCTGTTCGTTTTTGTATTTTTTATTTCTTCTTTTTGGGCAGAACATAGGAATTGTTATGTCTAGTTCGGGTCATATTTTCTTCAGACTGAGAGCTGTGTCACTCCTGGGAAATTTTCATCGCAGGAAGGCAAGAAAATTGCTGGTTTCAGACATTTCAGCTGCTGGAGTTCCCTCGCTGTTATTCGGTTTTTGGCATGCAATATGCAAATCTCTTTAGCCGGGGAGCCGTGGGAATGGTACTGGAAATTGCAATGCTAATGAAACCCGGAACGAAACGAACTGCACACCAAGTCGACTTGTTGTCTGCACCTGAACTTCGCTAAGCTCCGGCTGAGAGCACCTCCATTTGGCCCCCGATTTCGGCACCCTAAATAGGTGCTAATGCCGAGGCCAAATAGCCAGACAGCCGAATACTTATGTCGTTAACTTTTACAACCGTTTTTATAACTTCTCGGGCCATGATGTCCCTGCCGGCACACACATCACAGATCCTAGTTAGCGTCCTGCAAAGTTTTGCCTGCGTGCTGGCAATTTATGCAACAGTTTGACAATATAAAAGTTTATTACATAACTTGCACTACACACGGGTGGGTCAAACGGCTGCTGAGAGCAGACATTATCCATCTAGTACCCATAAAAATGGATCCTAAGCCACTGACCAGAGGGAGGATTTCAGCTACAAGTAAAGCTGTAATTTTGCCACATTCTGATTTACTTTTCAGTTTCGCTGGTGGGGGAAACAGAGGGAAGAGAGGTGTGTCTATGGGATATATAGTGTCTGCAGCCATAAGTGGCGCTTATACAAAATTATGCATATCAACTTTATGGCTGGCAGCTATTTCACACACAAAAACCCACCAGCTGAGATGTTTACACATAGCGGAGCAAAGGGAGCTACGTTTTGCATATATTACGCACTGTACACTGCCATTGTGTGTGATCCAGGGCTGAAATATGGTCCCGGGGCCTCAGCTTATTTCTATTTCACTCACATTTTATTCGCATTTTATTTTATGCTGCAACGACACAATTTCCCAGCGCTCAAATTGCAAAATGCGCAATGCAAAGATTTATACTGTGATGACAAACAGAGCTCCATTTGTTGGTAATCGATGGATAAGAGCATCTGACTTTCCGACTTTCTAGCACTGAATGGCTGTTTGTCTGGCTGATTATGCTTATGCATAAAGGAGGGGGGCGAAACTAGCTATGAATGACTGGGGATTATTGCTTAGTTGACAGCAAGGCGGAAATATCTGCAAATCAGGAGAATTCCTTGCGATCTAAGCTAATTTATTATCATTTTTACGACTAATGCAAAGCTTACAAAACGAACCCAAATTGGACCGGGAAATGGAAATGTATACCATGCATAAATCATAACGCAATCCTACAGCATCTTTCTCCTTGTCCCAGTGTGCGTTTGTATCTGTGAGCTTTCTCCTTTTGTGCTTGATTAACGTCAACTGTTTATGGTTATTTATTTTGTGCTGCATACTTTGAGGCCGTTTCCTTTTGGCGGGGATTACTTCCGCTTTTCGGCTAGATAACAAAGCAAATTGCCCAGGGATACACAAAATATGATTTCATTTATTTATACTCCTGTATCGGTAAGGCTTCACCGAATATGTTTACTTAAATCTTTAGCTAAAAACGATTTTCTCTCGCATTTTGTCTCAAACTTCTGGCAAGAAAACTCTGACTTTTCCCAGAAACTTTTCAATTAAAATGAAATTTTGGGGGTTACCAAAATTCCAAGCATGTGTCGAAAATTCAGTGTCACAGAAATAAGTGAAATTTGAATTCCCACTTAACTGCAGACAATTCGGTTATATAAACTTTTCAAATAATTTATTTCATTTTGCGAATACTTGAAAAGCCAGAAGTTGGGAACATAAAAAGTAAAATTTATTGCGAGAAAACGAAAATGTGCGATTAGACAATATAAAAACTAAGCGCACGTAATATAAAATGGGAAAAGTAAAAAGAGATTTTGAGGACATCAAAGTGAAATTTATGCAGAAACAAAAGCTGAGGCTGTAAATTGCTCGGTTGTTTGTATGGGTGACACGCACGAAAAACACAAATACAAGGACACATGTGGATTGGGTTTGAAAACTGTTTAAAATTCTGCGTATGTGGTGCCTGCCAAAAATTTCAAATGCCTTATTTCGTTCGTTTTTTTCTCCTTTTTCTATGGAAACTTTTGCGAATCGCAATAATTTTTCTTGAAGGCCGCTATTCTGAGAGTGTGTATGTGTGTAAAAGCACACACACACTTGCACAGCAGACTATTAGCACATACACACACAAACGCATTTAGAGAGAGGGTCTCAACAATGGCCGAGCAAAAATTACGGGAAAAGGGGAAGGAAACGCAGAGAAATAAAACCAAAATGGCAAACAAAACAAATACAGCACAACACACAAAACGGAATACAAAAAAAAATAATAAAAAGGAAAAAGAAACTTAACTTTTCCAAGTCGGAATTGAATTACCCTTCCAGCCTTAACATGCAATAAGATTCCTATTTAAATGATAGTTTAGTATATAATAATAATTTAAATGTCCCTTTCATATTATATCAAGCAAGCTAAAATAAAAAATTAATGAGATATATATTTTATATAACCCATATTAAATCAAGTTCTTTTCGTAAACTACAATGACAGCTATTTGATATAGATATCCGAGTCCGGCTTTCCAACTTAAATTACAAATTAAAAATGCCAGTTTTATCCTTCAAAATGATACTGATTGCGATAACTTTTACCACTGCTTTGCCAAGTTCCAAACGATATTATAATACTATATGTAAGGGTATAGAAAGAACTAGTCCAAAGAAGAAAGAAGCTAGAGAGAAGCAAAGCGCCTGGCAAATAATACAGCCAAATTGGCGAAAAAAACAAAGCGACGACGTTGCGTCTGTGACTAACAGTCATCGATGAGGGGGTGGATCGGGTGGTTTGGGGGTTTTCGGGTGGGGGTTTGGGTGGTTCGGGAGGTTCGGGTGGTGCGTGCTGGCAGACCGACTGAAAGCAGCTTAGCGCTTACTTCATAGTTTACGCGCAGCCTAACGACAACAAGACTGCCAAATGCTATTGATTTTCCTATGTTGGCTGGCACTCGTATCTTCCATTGGGCCCCCACCCAGATCGGCTCCGATATCCGGACAGGTGCGTGCTAAAGACCTGAACAAGAAGGGAGCCATAGATAGCCCAGCTTAGCCGGGTCAGCTCTTTGGAGAAGGGAATACAGGCTACTACAAATCGGATTTGCGTGAGTAATTGGCACGTCGTATTCTTTTTTTCGAGCCTGAAAACGTAGAGCAGAAAAAAACAAACAACACGACCGGATGTTGTTGGTGTGAAACCTCAGCAGCGACGAGCTGGAAAAAAAGTTGAACAAATAAAAGCGCAATTGCGTTATATATGCCACAGAACACACCGAAAAAATTGGCTTTTCTTTCAAGCGTTTCGATGTTTTTTCACAATGCAAAACTCAACTCACGTTTGAGGTTTTTGATTTCTATCGGTTTTATTAGCATTAATAAAATCTCAATTAGTCAATTTAGCAGGATCCTTTACATTAATTACCTTGAAAACCAAATAGTTTTAATTAAGCAATGTTGTAGTGCCCCAAAAATGAAGTAAATTAAAATCTCTAAAGCCCAGTATGCTTTGATTACAAGTGCACGAATTATTAATATATAGAACTCGACGTTATACACAGGAAATACAAGATCCTGTGGCTTGAACTATAGGTGGAAATTTAAGATTTAATTTGAATAGCATACTTTTAAGCATTTTTAATTTCAAGTGATTTTAAATTACCAGAGAATTCTGAATACAAAATATTGCAATTGAGAAGATCCTAATCAAGGTTTTATATTATTATTTTATGTTGAGCAATTTTGAACGGTAAATTTCAAGATGATCTTAAAATAAGCATTTCATAATATTTCGCCAGAATATGTAAGTTATTGTAATTAAGAGGATATTCAATAATCCCCTACAAAATATATAATCATTTAAAAAGCTACCTAAATCATGTTAACACCTAGATGATGTGTGTTTTTCTCCGTGTACTCGCACACTTGCGCCTCGGAGCATTGGCAAATGTCAGCAGTCAGCTTAAGGCGTATTAAGTAGGAGACAGACAGGAAGGAAGAGTGGCAACTGGGAGGCGGAGACGAATCCGGGACTCAGACTGGGAATCCAAGACGTTGGATAGTGACGGAGACAGTGAATGAATGGGGGCTGCCGTGAAGCCATTTGGGACTTACCTCATCGATAAACTCAAAATCGCCGCCCGTCTCGCCGACGTACTTCTTCTTGTTTCTGGCCTCCGAGCTGCCAATCAAGCTGGATGACATCAACACCAGCGCCAGACAAGCGCTGGCAATCAGCGGCGAGTGCTTCATGGCCGCTTAACGGGTGTCCAGGAACAGGAACAGGAGATGACAGCGGTGGCGTTGTCGGTGGCTATGGAGGAAGTGCTTCAAGCGATGCGCCCTGTTGACAAGTTCCGCTCTCGCTGGTCCTAATCGCTGCTGTGCCGTGAAAAACTACGGACGCCTTCGGTTTTACGCACTCACGCACACTCACTGGCGCTATCTACGCACACACAATCACGCAGCAACTATGCTAAGCTATGAATGACAATGAGTTTGGGCTTGGATTTTGGTTTTGGTTTCTGCTTCTGTTTCTATGTTTGCTCTTGCAATCGCAGGCGCCTCCGCGGATGAAGTGCAGCCTGGACACGAAACACTGGAGAACTGAAGGCGACGCGGCCGAAACGTAAACTGAGCGCCGAGTCGAACTTCTGGGTGGCATCCATCGCGGTGGGCAGCATTGGAATTTTGCGACACAAGCTCCGTGTGCTAAGAGAGTGGCAGGATGCGCTAAGAGAGCCGCTGGAACTCGTGGACGACAGCAGGGTTGTCATGTTACATATGCAGAAAATAGAAAATTATTCTTAATAATTTGTAAAAGTATTTTTATTACATTTTTACTTTGTGCGTTTTATATTTTCATACCGAAAGATTTCTAAATGTTCTTACTGCTTATTTGAAAATGTACTTAAAAGCCGGAATCTTAAGAAATCTCACCTTCTCCAACCGTTCGCCCAGTGCACCACTCTGCGTATGCGCAATGCGTTGAATATCTCTGCCTCTCTTCGACAGGGCCACCATCCCCTTGCCGTTGGAGCAACAACTGCCAGGCGCTTCCAGACTGCCACCACCAACAAAACAGACAGCGACTAGCGTTCGTCCAAAATCGATTTTCCGGACTCTCTTCGCGCCACCCATTGCCAGAGCTCTGGAATGCGGAATGCTCGAAATGCTCTTAAGCGACAATTGCTGGAGCCAAGGCAGCGGGTCGTGAACCTGCCACTGGCGCCCAATGCGCCTTGAGTTTTCGCTGCTAGTGTCGCTGGCTGTTGATTTTTATGTATTGGCGCTTGGCACACTTGGACCGGGCCAACGCCGATGCTGTTGGCCGGGAAACCCCAAAACCATTTAACGCGTCAGCATCAGAGCGTCTCAAAGGCTGGCCAAACGCTGGCGTGGCCCTCTAGTTGGAGTCCCAGCCACGTTGTAGCCGGACCCAGACCCGTAGGCTCTGTCAGTTTCAAATTAATAGCCACGCACACACACACACACACACTGTGCGCCGCTGTGGGGTGTGCATTTATTATGTGAGTGAGCCTGTGCTTGCCTACTTTCGTCCTCATCGTCGTCGCTCTCACCGCGCTGCTCCTCCGTCGCTTCTCTATTATAATGGCATCATTGACTTGTGCTTTGATGGCTGCTTTGGCCCGGACAGGGCTTCTCTTGGCCCCTTCCCCCGTGTGTGTGTGTGGTGATGTCCGCCTCCACTTGATCCCCATTTCGGCACGGACTGCTGGCGCCAGTTGCTGCCTTTTTTGAATATTCGGCTCACACTTCCTGCCGCTGCTGCCGCCTTCAGGTCCGCCCTTTTCCACTAGGGGCGCGTAACTTCCCGGAATTTGTCGGTGACCATGGAGCCTTAAACTCCGCTTCGCTGGCCACAGTCATTGGCGACGAGTCTCTGGTAAAACTTTACATTTTATTGGATTTCCAAATGATTTTCAATCAACAAGTCCATATTATGTAATATGTAGTATGTGTACAGTTATTGTTATTGTTTCGCAGGCATTGCAATTGCTAATCAAATTGATTTTCATACATTTGTTCAATGACTCGATAAAATGGCTTTCAACTACACGCTACTAGCAGGACTTGTGCTTCATGTCACGGCTTAAAAGCTAAACATTGTACAATAGATACATGACACCGCTTTAAACGTGACTGCACAAAGCACATATTTTGATTACAAACACAAAACAAAAAATTGTATGGTAATGTGGTGGATTAATAATTATTTTTTGGTTAGTTACAAGTCTTAAACGCTTTCTAAACGAATGGAAATGCCTGGAAATGATTATTAGTTTCGGCTGGGAAGAATTAAACCCTAAACATAAAGTATATATTTGCGACGTGCAGCAGCTGCTTTTTGTTCACTGGGCGCCTAATGTTGCTAGTTCGTAATTTTCTCTAAATCCTACATAAAAATATATATCTTGTGTAAAAACGTGAATACTATTAGCAGCGCTGCTAACGACACTTTTTTGGCCGCACTTATTAATGGCTAATAAAAAATTGCTCTTCTGCAAGAGATTCCATTTACGTTTTACAAATGCACTTTTAGAGATTCCATGCGGCTCACAATACGGCGACGCAATTCGGCGTACCTGCCGGAAAGTAAAAAATTGTAATGTTGCAAAGATTGTTGGTAACTATAACATTTTAAAAACCCACTTTTCCTTAATTTTGGCCACTTCTCGAGCCACTTCCTGGTCGTAACGCTCCAGAATGGCACGGCACTCGGGTAGCGATAAATTCAAAAATTGAGCAACTTCATTACTAAATTAAAATAGAAGTAATCAATCAGTGAATTGCGGTCACAGTTTTTCAGAGTGACTTGCCTGATTTCGTCCGTTTTGCGGGAATCAACTAAAAACATACGAGCCACATCCTCATGAGGTCCCAAAGTGACGCGAGTTATTAGAGGATACTCGTCATCCTTCAAACGCTTCTGCTCCCCATTGTCGCGAACAATAAAGAGGGAAAAGTTTCCCGGCGAACTGTCCACCTTATACTTTTCCAGCACCAAGTTGATGACTTCTGTGGTGGTCACCATCGAGGAAACCCACACAGACATTTGAGAACCGTAGGGCGGGGTGAAGAATGACGTCTCCCGATTATAGTAGTGACCATTAATAGAGCACCGACGTTTCAGCTTAGTACGAGAACTGTTGATAATAGTACTTTACTTGCAAAGCCATTTGAAAATTAAAAAGCATGTGCAACTTACCGACGATTGCCACTGCGTCGCTTGATGGCTGCAGCTCCAGTACGAGGTGGTCTTCTTAGCACCACGCCATCCTCCGTAACGTGCAAACCAGCAGATCCATCCCCAACTCCCTCGCTCGCCGTATACAGCTCTTCAGTTTGCGTGAGCTCATCGCCGGCAGCTGCTCCACTGGTAATGGACGGAGCATCTGCACGACTTGACTCACCCTCGCTGCCGGCAGTCGCATTCTCTTTGGGATAGCAGTCCATCTGGATTTGAATGTACCGGGGAGGGATGTCGCTACGCCTCATGGTGGCCAACCGTTGGGGACGCAGTGTGGCCTCGTCGTCGTCATCACTATCGGAGTACACAAAGCAGCTGGGTCCCGATTTGGAGCGGTTTATGCCCTTCTCAAAAAGCTGCCGCCCCTGTTGATATGGCTTCTTCTGCTCCCTGCTGGGCACTGTGGACGCGGAGGCCGATCCGCTCTTCTGCAAGGCGTACTGACGCTGCGTGGAGCGAGGCGAGCCGACACTGCTGCGCAGGTTCATGGTGTCGTTGATCAATGCAGGATCAATGGAGCGCAGCGCATGCTCGCAGTTAAAGCTTTTGCTCATCACCGAATTTTCCCCATAGAGCTTAAGGGAGTCGTGGATGCGAGAGGGATCAATGGGCTGATTTCGCTTCAGGGTGCCCTCGTTGGGTTCCTTAAAGGAGTTAGTCCCGTTCACATAATCCTGGTGAACACTGCGCTTAAAGTCCTCAAAATCCATAGGTTTCAGGGTAGTATCATCGCAAGTCTCGAAGTTGTCCAGAGAGGTCTCTGTAGTAGACACCGTTGTTGTATTCTGTGTGTTGGTATTGGCCGTCAAGGATCCCGTGGCGGTCATAAAGTTGTCGGAGCTGCTGCTATTGGTCGTGGCCGATTGTGTGGTGCTCGATTCAGTGGTGGTCGTGGTGTCAGTGGATGTTTTGCTTGGCGAACTGTCACTGGAAGACTGAGACGACGGTAATTTGACCGGCATGGTTTCGTAGATTCGATCCTTGTCATTATGACGTCTCTCAACCTGCAGCAGATCGTCAATGTCGTCCCAGTCCAGCTTTTCCAGATGGTCCAGCTTGGAAGGCAGAGTGCTGGAAACACAGCTTGTGCTGGCCGTAGGCGCCTCCACTAGTGTGCCGGACGAATCCGTTGTGGTGGTATCCTCGTCGTCGTTAGATACCTTCCCATTGGTCACCTCCTTGCTGTTTGCTGTGGTGTTGGCCGAGGCATCTTCTGGTGTTGTGGGCAGCTCGGAGATCTCGTTCAGGCTGCAGGAGTCGAAGGTCATGCTCTCAGAAAGTGAGACATCCGTGGAAAGCTGGTCCACCTCGCCTGTAGTGGTTGTGGGCGGAGCCAGCGACTCGCTAGCCTCGTTCTCCTTGTCCGAGCTGCTTTCCTGTGGTTGAAATTTAAATTAATTACATGAATACGGAAATAACTTTAGGGTAATCATACATCTGCTGCCTTAGACACCCGACAAGAGTTCCTCTTGCGAACTAGTATGCGCTGATCATCGTCTTCCTTGAGGTGAATCACTCCCTGCACGCCCCAATAAACTCGTAGCGCTCCTTCCAGCACCAAGCGGTTGTTAACCTCGCGACTGCGTATCTCCAGGCTTTTGTTGTCGTAAAATTGATTGTAGACCTGCCCATAAAAAGGGAATTTTATTAGTCTGGGGTTTTGGGTTTCCTGAGTTCGTGCTGCACCTTCAGCTTGGACTCCAGGTGATCTCGTGGGAGTGGGGGGCCATTGGCCTGGGCCCCAGCTGGTTTCTGGGTCCCCTTCAGTCCGTAGCTCTTGTGCGATTCCACCCGAGTGCCGTGGCCAAACAACTGGGGCCCAAACAGAGCTCCGTAGCAGGGCACATGACAGTAGGGCACTCCTTTGTGCTGCAATATTATGATTAGATGCTTAAAGATCATATGATCGAATAACAGGTGATCCACTGACCTCAGCATGCTGGCCGGGATTTAAGCGCTTGCCGCACTCCTCGCAGCGCAAACATTCCGGATGCCAGTCGTAGCCGAGCGATTGTTTACGTTCCGCTGTGCGAGGAATAAATAAATATAATTTACAAGTTATTTACGGATCGGTGTGTGTTTTTATGTATGCGTGGGTGTTTGTGTTTGTCTCACCGAAGTAAACGGGTTTGCCGCACTTGTGGCACTTCCACATTCTAGATTCCAAACAGGTCAGCTCAACGATTCCTCTGGGAATGGGTGTGTTTTGCTCCTCCGTATTTAGAGAGTTGTGACGTAAAAGACGAGTTTTATGCAAATGAGGCGATTTAAAACGGACACGAAACGCAAATAGAACGCAAGACAAAGGGTAAACACATGAGGGGGCGTGAGATTCTGATCGGTCACTTGGCCTGTTGGGTTGGAAACATGGCAAAACTCATAGTTTTATAAATGAAACTGGCACTGGGCACACCCACGCAAAGTGCACAAGGCATGTGCATTGAGATTCGGTGCGTTGTTAAATAGATAATTGCACCAAAACCAAAACAGCACCAGCAGAAAGAGAACAGAACAATGAAACAGTGTTGAGCAGCGGCTGCGGCAAATGGGAGCCCTCCGAAAGAGTGCAGCACTGGAAGTACTCTGTTTTCTTATTGTGTGAAATGGTCGCCCTTAAAATCGGAGCTGGCAATGCTGCACAGGGTAGTTCTATATTTGTGGGAGGAAAAATAATCTTCTTAAAACAATTACAAATAAATAAATGAATTTTTTAATGTTTTCCCTTAAATTATTTGTAGAAAACGTTAATCAAGTCAGTCTAGAGAAGTCAGCTTACTGATAAACTCTAGTGCTTTTTAAGTTTTAGTAATTTTTAAAATTTTTTTTAAATATATGAGCCGAGTTTGACTTGGAATTGTTAAAAAATTTAAGTTTTTAAAGGTTTACGGTCAGAATACCCATTGAAATCCGAAAAAAACAATAAAACCAAATTATCCCGCCAAAGTGTGTGACCATTTGTGGCTGTAGTACGTTATTGGGCAATGAGCGCGGCCACACTGTTTTTAGTAGAAAGTGAGACGGTTTAATTTGTTGTCTCTGCGCGCTGTGTAATTTTCGTTAATTTGGCCCCGAATCGCGTTAAACGGCGAGTTTCGCTAATTAGGCCCAGTGCTTAAACTGTGTGGCCGTCGATTGTCGAGGATGCGAGCAGATCCTTAATCCCCGGCCGTCAGCAATTAGGTTCTCCAGAGCCGCCTTCGAAAATCGTGAATCGAAATCTCCAGCCAGGAAGGCAAAAAGCAACAGGCCAACAAAAATTCGCAGGCCTCAATTAGCAAAATAGCCAACAGTGCAAGTGCTGCGTGTGTGTTCTGTGTTTCGTGGTCAAAATGCGCGCCACCATTGAGTTCGAGGAGTGCCTGAAGGATTCCCCCAGATTCAGGTGGATATAAATATAGCCCCGCCCTCAGCCCCCCGAATTGCTCTCCGATTTTGCACTCTTGACTGAGATTTGCATTGTTCCATGTAGCGTGACTGGTTGCTATCAAAAACCAGATACAGCCCACCATTTCCCACCTCCCCAAACCATCCCGCTTCCCCGCGAAAACGCGGCTTAATCATCCATCGAACAAACTTTGTCCCGTCAGCACTGTGGAATGTACAAATGAGCCTCCCCCCGTTTCCGCAACTAATTGTCGATGCTTTCGTCTATATCGACGCTCCATGTAGGCCGCTGATTGATAAGATTTCACCCGAATTCCCGCTTCTCCACTAATCGCGCCCAAAGACAAAGCTTTCCCTCGTAAATGATGCTCAAAATCAGCGATAACTTGTTTGAGAGCATACGAATCCCCACTTCCCACTTCGTTAGGCACCTGCAGAAGATTGAGTTTAGAGGAAACCGGAAATTAAGGGTATCTTCGGGGTCTGAAACTTAGAATACTCTTGCAAAAGTGTTATTATTCTTTCTATAGTTACAGAGTAACGAATACCCTTGAAACATGGTAAAATAACAATAACATACACCAAATTTCTTGTAAACTAAGGAGATCTTAATGAAAGTTATATTAAATATGTATATATATATATATAATATATATATGTATTATATTATATAATAATATATATATATATATATATTATAATTCATTCGTAGGATTTTGGCAAGAGTGAATGAATGTATACATAGACGATAAAAAAGCGAAGTTTTATTAAATTATCATAAAAAATGATGGCATACTGCGCATTCGACTCAATCGTTTCTCTAAACACTTTTAAAATAAATAGCTTGAATTCCGTTTGATAAGATTTATATACTGAAAGTCATAGCTTAAAACCAAGATAATTGTTTTCTTAGAAATTACAAGGGCGGGTTATAGTGATCAAGAATATATAGTTATTTTATTTCCTGGGAAGCAAACTTGTGCTCTAAATTATAAGACACTCCGTACGTATGGGAATAAATAATAAGTTAAAACAAACATAATACCCTCCAAAAGAGTACGTAAGAGAATGAATACAAAGTTTAAACAAAAGCAATGCACGACAAATCGATGGATAACAGGGGGGAAAGGCGAGAAAAACCCGACGAAGACGCAACAAAGTGATACAAAAACTTGTCCCCGGACAAGCTCTATTTTGTGGCGAGTCGTCTTCAATTGGAAGCGCAAACAGCTCTTTAATAAGTCCGCATAAATTAAAAGTGTCAACATAAACAGAGGCAAAGTGTCAGCCCCATTCCCATGCGCTGCCCCTGCGATAACTTCTTTGATTAAGCTGAAAGATTATATTTACCCTGCTCAGTCACTCGAAGGCAATTTTAATCACCAGCTTACCCATGCCGATGCCCATATTTTGTTTACATCTCGACAGGATTGTGCTAACGTTTTCAATTTGTTTTCCGCCAGACAATTTGTGTCCAAGGAGGAGAGCGACATCGAGCACTTGGAGCAGCGCCTGGAGAAAATCATCAAGCTGTGCAATGTGGCCGTGGACTCGGGCAAGGAGTATGTCAAGAACCAGAGGTAAACAACTCACTGCGCCATTTTCCATCCTCATGCATATTCATTGGCATCGATTCTCCGTATTTTCGTATATTTCTCCAGCGCCTTTGCCATGTCCTTGTGGGATCTGCAGCAGCACTTTCTCGACAACAAGAACGCGCACAATGCGCTGGGCAAGCTTATTCACTGCTTCCAGGTGGGCTCTTCAGTTGCGGCCTAATGTTCTATATATAAACTACATGTCCTGTTTGTTTTGCAGGAGATGAACAAGTTCCACACCATTCTGTTGGATCAGGCTAGTCGCACGGTGCTGAAAAATCTCACTGTGTTTGTAAAGGACGACATAAATCAGGTGAAGGACTACAAAGGACATTTTCTCAAGGTTTCCGAAGGCTATGACAATGCGTTGATAAAAAACGCACAGGTGGGCTTAGATTTTCGTCGAGAATATTGGTTCACTGAAGCTAAAAGCTGATTCCTTTTTTACAGGCTAGTAAAAACCGACCGCAGGAGATGCAGGAGGCTGCAAATATCCTCTCCGCCTCAAAATCGTGCTTCCAACACACCGCTTTGGACTATGTCAACTATATAACTCTGGCACAGGCTCGCAAGGTCCCCTCCATATTATCCACGGTAAGGAATGGGCAAGGTGCCGCCAGATATCGCTTATCTATTTTGACTGCCATGAATGAAGTGGCCCGCGACCACCAAGTAAATAAGTTTGTGGGATTTATTATGTTCATGACGTCACCCTTGTGATATCGATGTGCATTTGTGTGTGTTTCATATCTAAAACCATTGATCAGCATGTTGAGTCAGTTGTGCGCTGGCCGATGCGCCCAGTTGTCTATCGGGAGAGCTCGGAGCTGGATTGTCGCTGTCGCTGAAGGGTGGAGAACAATAGCTGCTGTTCTTTGGCGAAAGCACGTTTTCATGCAGGTCTCCTCTGCTCTTTTTTCGCCAGCTGTTGGATTACTATCAGGCGTGCGTGACCTACTACCATCAGGGGTTCGACCTGTGCAACGACTTCGACGAGTTCTTCAAGAACATCAGCGAGGATTTGAACGCTCTGCGCGGAGACTACCAGCAGCTGGAGAAGGCCATGCAGAACCGCCACATGAGCGTGAATCGGTACTGCGACTCGAACACCAACAGCACCTCCAACAAGATCGAGGGCTATCTGTTCAAGAAGAAGTCCAAGGGCTTCAAGACCTGGTGCCGACGATGGTTCTACCTCAGCGACAACCAGCTCGTCTACAGGTGGGTGCGCGCTGCCTTTCTATACTGCTACCCATTTTGTCCATCCTGAAACGCCATCCCATCTGCTTGCTTAGTTAATCAATCGTTTTCTTTTCGTTTGCAACTTTTGATTTTGTGATGTTTTTGTTGTGTGGTGTGTTATGTGATGTGTTGGCCGTACGCTGAAGTGATTTGGATTCGCATTGCAGAAAACGCAGCAACGAGGACTCGTTCTCAGTCATGGAGGAGGACCTGCGCATCTGCAGCGTGCGTCCGGTGAACGAGGGCGACCGCCGCTTCTGCTTCGAGGTCATCTCGCCGACCAAGTGAGTATATGATGTGCGATTTGCCATAAATGTAAAGTTAATTCCGATCCTTCTATACTAGATCACACATCCTGCAGGCTGACTCCGCTGACATGCTCTCACTGTGGATTTCAGCGCTGCAGCACAGCATTGGTGCAGCCATACAGCATGACTCCACGCATCATTCGCGACCGCAATCGACGAACACACCCAACAACGCTCTGCCCGCAAAGCGTAGAATGTATGTTTGATTCATCTTGAAATTCCAATTATATCGTAATGCAAACATTTTGTCGTCCCGCAGCCATTGGGAGCAGTTTCTGAAGATACCGGGCAACGCTTATTGCTGCGACTGCAGGAGCCCCGAACCGCGCTGGGCCTCCATTAACCTGGGTATCACACTGTGCATCGAGTGCTCCGGCGTGCACCGCAGCCTGGGCGTGCACTACAGCAAGGTGCGTTCCCTGACGCTGGATGCCTGGGAGACGGAGAACGTGAAGGTGATGATGGAGCTGGGCAACGAGGTGGTTAACCGCATCTACGAGGCCCGCGTGGGCGACGATTGTGGGCTAAAAAAGCCCACGGAGCAGTGCGAGATCGGAGTGCGCGAGGCTTGGATCAAGGCCAAGTATGTGGAGCGGCGGTTCGTGTGCGGCATGCCCAAGCCACAGGAGCTGCTTGCCAGTGAGACGGCCGAGGTCTTGAGCATAGACAGTGGCGGCGTGGTGGAGGACGTAGAAAGTGGCGTCAGTGGAATCGCTAAGCGGGCCACCCTCTCGCTGGGCGGCACCCGGAAGTGGGCTGTGAAGAAGCTGCGGCGAAGGCAAAAACAGCGCCCGCTGCCAAAGACCTTGAGCGACGATCCAAGCATCTATAACACTGCCAAGACTGGCGACGAGTTGGACGATGACGATGATGACGAATCCATTAACATTCCTTCGATGTCACTGAGCATCTCGCGCGACGATTTGCTGGTGATCGGTGATGACTTGGCCCTGGACAGACTGGAGACTCCCGGTATTCTCGGCAGTGATCAGGAGAGCACCGATGGCGAGTCGGATGCGGAGTCACCGGAGGAGTTGCCCTTCTCGCAACTGGACGCTAACCAATTGCTGTACATGGCCTCGGTGGTGCACAATCTCCCAGTAATGTGCATGGCCTTTGCTTTGGGCGCCGACAAGGTCTGGAAGAATCCCCAAGATCGGCAGCGATCGTTTCTACATCAAGCCGTGATCTCCGGCTCCGTGATGGCGTGCGAGTTCTTGCTCCTGAACGGAGCTGCAATCGATGCCGTGGACGAGCTAGGCTACAGTGCCCTGCACATATCCACGGCCAAGGGGCACATCGCCCAGGTTTATTTGCTGCTGAAGCATAAGGCTGCCTACGACCTGTCCTCCAGTGACGGAAAGAAAGCTCTAGACATTGCAGTGGACCAGGAAAACGCGGACATAGTAACGCTGTGAGTGGGATTACTTTATGATTGACTTTAGATACTAATAAAATACCTTTTACAGACTTCGATTGACACAGCTAAATGACGAAATTGGACCCAACGACGAGTACAACGGAGAAGACGAAACGTACAAGAACGTGATGAAGGACTTCTCCAAGTTGCCCGCCAGTCAGACGCGTGTGCTGCGCCAGCGCCACGACTCAAATACACTGGAATCGCAGCGCAGCTCCCTGACCAATTCCGACTAGCAGCGGCTGATGGGTCGCAAGAGTTAGGAACTTACTCGTTATAAAGGATATTGTTCCGATTAGTAGGCTAGGATGCATATTGGATTGTTATTGGCTTTATATCGCATTAACCAGGAATGTTAAACGGTTTCGATTTCGAAGGAAGTCGGCACGGGCTTGTTTCCCTAGGCAATCTCATTTGAAAGGCGCTTCCGATTATACAAGAAAATATTATTCATTGCATTTTGCATTCGAATGGCGGGCATGACCATTCGTTTTCCCTTAAGCGCATTTTGAGTTCCGTTTTTTTGGCGTTTAGCTTAAGTTTAAAGTATTCGTAGAGACATTATGTTTATTAAAAATACGTGTATTTGCCTATAATATTGTACATCGTCTTATGTGGTATTTATTAAACGATATTGTAAAATGTACGTCTAGCTATATGGTATCCTGTTACAGAGCTGTTCCAAATGTTCCGATTTGTATTTGTTTGCTAAACTGTTTAACGCTGCATGTTTTCTAAATGTTTTAACACTATCATGTTGATGATATTTGGTGCCAACTGTTGTGGGCACTTTAAGTTCGCGAATAAAGTTGTAAAATATTCAGAGCAAAGTTTATGTTTGAAGGTCAACTAATTTTCATTGTCTTGGCTTTTCACAACTTTAGTGACTATTCTAGTATGATTCTACGCAGGCTGAAACTCGGTTTCGCTTATCTCGGGTTCAGATATGTAGTCAGCGGATTTGTTTTTGACCTTGTGCATTGTCGTCACATGACGCTGGACAGCACTGCGATCGTTGAATTGCCGCCCGCACTGTTTGCAGGAGAACATGACGCCAGCGTGGGTGACCAGATGGCGGCTTAAGCCCGACACATGGTTAAAGCTCCGCTGGCACAGATGACACTTGTGCGTCCGAGAGTTGCCCATGTGCACTCGGCCGATGTGCTGCTGCAGGTTGGATTTCTGGGCGAAGCAACTCGAGCATTGGGGGCACTGGTGGCGCTTGGCTCCTGTGTGAATGTCCATGTGCCGCTTAAGCACTTCGCGCTGTGAGAAGGACGAGTCGCACTCGCTGCATTTGAAGGGCTTCAAACCAGTGTGGATGATCATGTGGCGCTTTAGGGAGCTGGCGCAGGACAGCTGCAGTGAGCAGCTAGGACACTTGAGCGTGCCGCCTTTGCCGCTTTTCAGGCCCTTGATGTGGGTATTGTGGTGGCGCGTTAGGAGTTTCTGGGTGGCAAAGGCAACCGGGCACAAATGGCACTGAAACGACTTCACCGTGTCCGTTACCCGCCCGGTTTTTGGTTGAGGACAGTCTGATGTCTGCTTGAACACAAACTCACTCGACCTCTTCCGTTTAGCAGGCGTCTGGTCATCACTTTTGATTGGCTCCTTTTCCTGAAAAAAATTTCGGTTATAATAAATATATCACAAGATCATTTATTTAATTACCACAATAATGACATTCTCGTCAAAATTAAAGACCTGTTGCTCTTCAGACATCTCGCCGTCCAGGTTAAACACAACCACATCTTCTATTTCATCCGATTTCTCGCCACTAAACTGAATCTCTCCGTCTTCCTTGACTAAGCAAAGAGATAAATGAGTTTAAAAATAATTACTTCTATTGAAGATTTCCACTCACTATTATAGGAGGTAATGCCGTCGTCCTGGTCAAATTCCGGCGTGGAGTCGGGCTTTTGATCCTCCGAACTGTTAGAGTTGATAATGTAAATCTCGCCATCATCAGTGCGCACCACATCGCCTGTATCGACAATCTCCCTGAAGTCGTTCCCGCCCTCCGTGGGAACTTCTTCCTCCAGTTCGAGTGCGTCTAGGTGTACTTCGTTGGCAGCCAAAGGGTCTGAATTGCACTCCAATATAAATTCTTCATTTTTTTCTTCTTTCATGGGCTGGGGAATCTGTGGCATGCTGGTTGAGCTGAGGCGCCGCTTGGGAGGAAACTTTAACTTGTGCCTGGACAAGGAAGAATCCACCTTCTCCTGCGCTTTTGATTCCGACACAGAACCCTCCAAGGGCTCCCACTGACCGGCCTTTTTCTCGGTGAGGTACACTTCCAGTTCGCCCAAGAGCATAGCCAGCTGCTCTTTCCGCATGTCCTCGCTGACCTCGTGGCGCAGCTCTTCCCGCACCTGGCTGCGCACCTCCTCGGCCAGCTCGTCGCGCACCTCATTGCGCACCTCCTCCGCCAGTCCTTTGCGTATCTCAATTGTCATTTTTGCCCTTAGTTCTAGGCGGGACTTGACCAGTCGCCTGTTGAACTCCGCTGACTGCTCCTCCTTGAACTCCTCGCGCCACTTTTCGTCATCCAGCTTGCGCACCTTGTCCTGCGCTTCGATGAAACCTATGGAGTCCTCAAACTCCAGCTCGTCCTCGTCGTAGTCATCGGGATCCTTGGAAAAGACGCGACTCCGCTTGCCCAAGCCCAAAAGGCGGATGTGCTTGCGCAGCTTCTTCTCCGACGCCTGGCAGCGCTGCCGGAACAGGAATGACTTCTCCAGCTGGTAGCGGCACTCCTGGCAGATCCTTTTGGGCAAACTATCAGCCGCCTTGACGTCCAGAGCGACGCAGGCCATCAGGCGCACGGGAATAGAGAGCTGTGACTCGTCCTCCTCGAAGATCGCGTACGCATCCTGATGCTCCTTGAGGCACAGGCGGCACAGGGTCGCCAAATCCGGATACGACGGCGGCGCGTCCATGGCATCGGCTATTTTTGGGTATTCCTACTTATTTGCTCGGTGGCGTCTCTGGACATCGCAAATAATGTGACCGCAAGTAGGGCGGCAAAAAATACCTTCCCTAGGCCAAATACTCAAAACAACGAAATCTGTTCGTCAGCTATGAGAGAGAGGGAGAGGCAAACACTTATCGTCTGCCCTTTTTGTTACCGAATACTCAGAGCAACAACAAAAATACCAGAAAATTCCATAGCTCTGCTAGTCGTTGAAATTTTAAGAAAAACTGTTAAATGTACAATTTATTTATTTTTTGTTTTTAAATTTAGTTTTTTTTTTTAATGTGGCTTAAGTTTTATTCTAAATAAATAAAGTTCAATTTCACTTAAATTGACTTCATTTGATAACGGGAAAATACATTAAGCTTTTTTCTTAAGTAAATAGAGAGTGAAAAAGTTTATTCTCTTATTAAAAATCAAGTTTTAAAAAAAGTATTAAAATGAAAGGTATTATTATATTAACATAAATATTCCCATTTGTTTTTCTATTCAACCAAACTTCTTAAATTAAAAAAAATGAAATTTCTGTAGTAACATGTTGAGTCTGAAGACCTTAAAATAAAATGTACTTAAAGAATAAATTAATTTAAATAATTTTAAAATTGTAATATTAATATCTCACTTCTTATGTTTAGAAAATCTGTATTGCAAATTAAGAATGCAAGGAGAATATTAAACGATTATTTTTTAAATGTCGTTTTGTAACAGATGTGCACACAAAAATGCTTATAATGTAAAGGTAGAAAAAGGACGAGTATCTGGTCAGTATTAAAATACATTTTATATTTTATACAGGCTGCGAAACAGAGCTATTCAGCTTATGGGCTCCTCTGAGACGGCAGCGCACACAATTGCCGGGTTCCCCGGGCACCTGAGAGAACCTTCTTTTCCACGATTTGTGCTTATCGCAGACTATCTCGGGCTTCTTTTTAGGGCTTTCGAAGCGGACTTTCTTGTGGCAGGGCGATTGGGTTTTCACTGTCTTCAGGGGAGACTTGTGAGTGTTTAGAAAGACGTCTTTGTTGAACTCCTCGCGAAGATGGCTCAGCTGGGGATCGTTCATGTTGATCTCGACCATGGGCACGGGATCCGGAGGAGTGGGAGCTACTTGTCTGCTGGGCACTGCTTCATCGTCTGTAAATTACATTACTTTAAGTATATGATGTCGGAGAATTATGAAGAAAGTCTTACCCAGTAACTCCACCACGCTTATATCGTTAGATTCCACTAGATTGTCGTCTGGCTCTGCTTCGTAGAAACCATCGGACTGGTCTTCAGCCAGCTGACTATTTGAGCCAATCATTATCTCGGAGTCGGGGGCTAGGCTCTCGGTACAATTAACCTGATCGAATGCAGTCTCGTTCCGCTTGCGCACAAAGTATCGCTCTAGTTCGTAGAAGACGTCGTCCAGGACGCTCAAACGCAACTCCTTCTTGGCCTCCGCCAGGATCGCCCCCTCCAGTTCCGACCGAAGCTCCAGTTCGATATCCGCGCGAACAGCTTGTTTGCAGGTGCTGAGGAGCTCCTTTTTGTAGGCATCGATCTCGCTGCGAATGAGCTGGGTAGCCTGCACGCGCCACTGGGCATTGTTCTCCGAGCAGGCTGTTTTTGTGCATCCAGCCACGTCCTGTAGGACAGCCTGCTCCTCCTCCATCTCCTCCAGCTTCGATTTGACCCCCTGCCGCTGCAACGCCTTGTGGCGCCTCAGACGACGATCGGCCGCATGGCACCGGCGCCGGAAGCAATGCATCTCCTCCAGGCGCAACCGACAGGCAGGGCATATGTACTGTGGCAGACCGTCACCTGGTTCGATCTCCAACGATGTGCAGGCCATTATTCTCAGGGCAGTCGTGCCAGTACCGAAAACCGCAAAGTTGGCGTCCTTTGCTAGACACAATCGGCAAATGTTCATGTTTCTTTTCCGGAATATCCAGAGGTTGTCAGCAGGAATCAGGTGTTTCACGATGGATTACAGACGTAGAATATTCCTGCAATAGCTAGCCAATGCCTAAACACAAACTTAATTAAATTAAACAAAAACCATTTGAACACAAACAATAAAAACGTAAAGGTGGGGCAAGCATAGATGACATTATCGATATTTTTACTAAACATCGATAGTCGATAGCTTTTGCGTAGATGTAATGTAGAAAATAATCACCATACATTCTTGTAAGTTGGCAGCTCCTCCAACAAGGTGACCGTATTCATTTAAGTCAATTGGCGGTTATAACTCAAAAGTTAAAAAACTCATTACTAACAGTGATCACTCTAGGTTCAAATATCAAGTAAAACCACTTCAAATAAAAACACACTTGCATTTATCAAACAATTTCATTATATTTCATTAAATATTAAGTATAAATACGCAGTTAACTAATAAGTATTATATACACAATTACAATAAAGTATTCAGTCACTATAATGCTTCTTCTATATACAAAGTACTATATATTTATATCCAATGGCTTTGAACTCGCCGCCGCACCTCAATAAATTATGCAATTCAATTCCATTATAATATACAGTAACAGTCGTCTGTGTTCTTCGGGAGTTTGCCGATTGAAAAAAGGTGTGTGTACGTTTCTTCTCATTTAAGGATCTGCGCCGAGGATTGCCTACTTATAGCTAAAATGTTTGCAAAAACAATAAGTCAAGGACATTTAACAGTGTTATTGATTTCTTTCTCTTTCTCTTTTTCGTTTGCTCTTTGCTTTATCGCTTGGGTGGGGTGTTTGTTGTGGGTGTTTGTTTTGTTGTTTGTGGTAAATAAATAGTATCGATCGATCATTAACGATATTCAACATTGAAATACATCAATCATTAGGCATATACATAACTACAGGATATAATACAATACAGGATCGTGGGCAAGAGGGTCCTCAATCGTGGCGCCAGCTCTGCGGCAGCACGTAGTCCTTGACCTTGTAGAGGGCATTGGCATACCAGTGGATGCCATTCTGCCGCTCCCCTTGGGTCACCACCTTCGGCGAGCTGTGCAGCTGCTCCTTGGCGGGCAGCCACGCCTCCATTGTGGACAGGAGGCGCATGGGGGCCAGGCCCCAGTGGGCCAGCGACTGGCTGTTGATCACCGCATAGCAACTGGCGGCCACCGAGTTCACCACAATGGTGCCTTCGCGGGTCAGAGGCGCCACCACGCCCTTGCTGCGCACACTGCCCACCCGGACGACGCGCTGGGGCCTCAGTTCGCCCGTCTCCGCATCCCGGACGAGCACCTGGTTCTTCTCCACGACGCGATCGGCAAAGACGAAGGTGAGCTCCTGGTGCTCCGGCTGCCAGACGCTCACCAGATGCGCGGGCGTCACCGTCAACACGGCGCCACCGTCCGTATGCAGCTGCACGAAGTTCTGCATCTGCTCCAGGTTGCGGTCCATGAAGAGGATCACCTCGCTGAAGACGGCCTGTCCGTTGGCGGCCATGCTCAGGACTCGGTCTCCGATGGAGAGCACGCCGAGCGGCTTCTGGACTCCGCTCTCCAGCAACGCAGTGCTCTCCGGAGTGAAGCAGCCGTGCACGTGGGAACTGATCGAGGAATCTGCAAGTAGGAAGATAAAGGATGTGGTTAGAAACTTCTGTTTTATAAGCCATTTAAAAGACCATATTGGAAATCTTATTTTTTCTAAGGGTTTAAAAAGACTTTAAAAAAGTTTATATTCTTACAAGGTTTTACAATTCTACAAAAAGGTCTTAGCATGTTTTCCAGATTTTGTGGTTCTTGTCTTTAAGAAATCCCAAAAAATTGTTTAGTCTGCCTTTAAAGTAATATTTCAATAATAAAAGAATAAAATAAAAACTGAGCCACATCAAAATAGACTTATGATAGGCCTATTAAACCAGTTCAACTTAAAGGGACTTAAGATTTCGCAATCTTGTATGAATAAGTAACTTTTAAAAACTACACAATCTCAAATCTAAAATGGTGTTTCTAATTTCCAGATAGCTTGTTTGCCCTCTGTGTAGGCCGCCCGCCCAGGTAATGGCATTAGTTTGCTAATCTAATTTGGCGTTAAGCATCCAATTGCCAAGCCCAACAAGTCAAAAAGGTTTTCACAGATCCGGGGCTGGCCCGTTGCAGCCCAAAGTGAAACAATGGGCCCGAAAGGACTGAAAGGACTGCCTTTTGCGGCTCGCCAACAAGCCAGGAACATAATGCGATCGGGGAACAGAGATCGGAGATCGGAGATCAGCAATCTGCGATCTTCCACCAGGCATATCAATAACAAGCGGCCGACGTGTTTTTGTTTCGGCTTGCACAAAAATTGTGATCTTGTTTTTCCTACAAGATTAGCCGTGGGATCAGCATCAGCATCAGCCCAAGCCGAACTCGAGCCAAAGCGGCTTAGGAATCCCAGGGAGAACAAACTGGCAAAAAAAAAAAAGAGAAGAAAAAAAAGGGGGATGGGCCAGGTAGCAGTTCGTGGTTTGTTTTCCCAACCTTTTTGGCAACCTGTTGGCAATTACCGAACATGCTGCAACCCACCCAAACAATAATCGAAGCGCAGGCCACATTAATCATCATTAATGGGTATCGGATTGCAGGGCCAGAGGGGTGGGGGGCCCACCCAGGTGGATGTGGAAAAATCGGGATGCACTTTGTAGAACTTTCTCTGGGGGCCTTCACACCCGAAGCGCCGCCGTTGCTGCTGCTGCTTGTAAAATTCAAATTAAAAATTCCAGACCAAAGGCGACCACTAACCGCGCGCTTTATTATAATGAGTGGCCATAAAATGGCCTTGTTGCGGCTGCCGCTGCCATGGAATTCCAAAGAAAATGCACCTTCCCAGTTGCCAGCTCGAAATTCCCATTGATGCATTTGGTAAACACAGACAGGCGGACACACAAAAGTGTAGAAACAATAAAAATCGGATTAAATACATATGGCCGGCGGTCTATAAAACCCATAATCGATGGGGATGGGCAGCGGGATCGGGATCGGGAATCGGAATAGGGCCCAAAAGAACCGAGTGGACAAAAGGCGGCGGAGAGGAAGCGCGGTAGTAACAAGAAAAATTGGTGTGAAATCTACCTTCAACCAAAACAGGCACAATACACAAAAACCGAAACCGAAACAGAAACCAAAAATGTAAAAGAGGGACAAGAAAAATCTCAGGCCTCGTCGCCGTTTTTGGTCGTCGTTGTCGGCGGTGAGTGGAAAGTGAAGAACTTGAAGGGTCATAAATTAATAAACCATTAAAGTGGTTAAAATTATCGTTATTTTATCTTTGTTGTGAAGACTAAACTGATAAATTATTACAAAACAGAGGACAGCCGCTTGTTGTTGGCTTGGTGACTGATCGTTTGGACAGCATTAACATGAGCATGCAACAAAAATAACAACAAAAACACGCGCTTGGGGGCTTTAATGCGCGCGCGCGCGACACACACCAACAAAAACATTGGTAGGAAAAGAAAAAAAAAAAGAGAAAAAAAATTTAGTGTCGACAAAAAGGTTTACAGCCATTACTCTTCGTCGTCGTGCTGCTGCTGCAGCTTTGGTTGCTGCTGTTTAGGCCAACAAACGAAAGACTTAGGCAGCGAACTCGGGGCGCAGCGAATGCTGTGCCAAAACTGTCATAAGCCCGTGGTTTATGTGCAACGGCCTATCAGCAATCAATCGCCCCGTAATTTATTGATAGCTCGCAGCAGCAGCAGCAGCAGCACTGGGAACACATGGTTTTCTGGGAGGGAGGACGAGGAGCAATGGACAAATGGACCACACACACATGTGGCAGGATAGCCATAGCCTGCTTGCCACTTGTTCGTCGGCTGACCTTTTGATATTTCCCAAGGAGAGTGTGAGGAAGGACGAGGACCCAGGATGACAGCAGGATCCAGGTTCATAGCCTGGCGGCGGCTCCTTTCATAAGCAATTAGAATCAATGAGCAAGGACACTCGGCTCGGTTTCCTTTCCCTTCTGCCCCTTTTGTCCTGCCGTAATCTTTATGGGCCGCCACCAAAAGTCACAATATTGTGACTCGACTGCGTGTGTGGGAAAGAGGCGTGGCATCTTGTAATTGTAGATGGAAATTAAATGAACAACTGACAGCCAGTCGCACCCAAAGTGTCTGTTTTTTGTGTGTATGTGTGTGTGTGTGGGAAACTTAAAAGGGAAAATCCCTGTAAAGCCGCTAAAGAAATGCAAAAATAAAAAAAAAGTAAAAAAGCCAGCCGAGAGAGAGAGAGCAAATCTTGGCAAGAAAACTTAATTGTCTTGGCCCGTTTTGGTTGGCTGATCGGGCCAAAAGCATTTTCTTCTCGGTCTTTGGGGCAGTTTCGTTATGTTTCGGGGAAAACTGGTTGCTGGCCATAATGGCAGCTCACAGATACACACTTTGAGCAGCCAGGCCCGTCTTAACTGATGATGCTAACTTGCTGGCCGCTCGGTTTCAGTGTTTCTTTTTTTCAATTAGGCCCGCGCTCAGGTTTTAGCCCGGCATTTAATTCATCTTTGCCCGTTGCTGCTGTTGCTTGGCTGCTTGGTTGCCTGTTTTTGTTGCCTGCTTCTCTGTTTCTTGGCCACTTTCTGCTGCTGCCTGAGAAACGCTTTGGGTGTCGTATCATCAATTCGTTTAATTTGACAGGCGCAAACCTAAACATGTCAAAACAACAGCCATGCGGTTAGTGGTGGTTGCCGCCTCTGGAGCCGAGTTTCGGGTCCGGTCCCGAGACCCCAGTCCTCAGTCACTCCATCCTGAGTCCGGTTTTCGGACTTTGTTGCCGCTGCTTCCCCTTTCGATCTTGCCACTTTGGACAGGCACTGCAGCCGTGGCCAATTTGGCGGATGCGAAGTGCAGGGCGAGCGGTTGAAATTTGCCAACGCCTGTCAGCTTAGCGATCGCCAGTACGAAACATGCGAAATTACGCTTGTTAGTGTCACTTCTGGCTAACTGACCGGGCCCACCCATCACCCAGCACCTCGCCCAGCGCTTATTACTTCCTACAGATGAACTAACTTGAATCAGCCCCGCTTATTTCTAAGGGCTTTCATGAAATGAGTTGCTACATATACTTAAAGGCATATTCTATTACTCATTAGCTCAAAGTACTATCACATTTAGAATTAGACATACACTTTTTACTAAATGGTTACTCATCATTATTATTTTAATGTTTAAAAATACAAATTTTTAATAGCTCATCAGGTTTTTTTCCTTTCGAATGAAAATGATATTTGAAAAGTAGCTTTATTGTGATGTTATTGCTATTTAAAAAAATGGATATTTAATTATTTAACGTCTTCTTGATATAAACATTGATTCATATTGTTCCATTAATTAGTACTAAAAAAGTAATAAAAAACTGTAAAGAATAGGTTGATAATAACTCCCTTGCTATTTATAATAAACGAACTGTTACCTAACTTTAGTAAAACCACAAAACCGGAAAACTACCCGCCATAATAAATGACCAAATCATGAATGTCAAAGCGTAAACCCATTAAGTGCCCCTTCCCACGATTGAGTAAATTATGTGGACAATTACCTGACTTGACGGAGCAGTAGATGTGGCGCCGGCTGACGTAGGAGACCCAGTCGAAGCCGGCCTCCACGGCCAGGCGGGCCAGCATGCCGTACTTGGACTGGTCGCGATCGGAGGTGGCGATGGTCACTGCCCGGCCCTCGTAGTGCAGCGACTCCGGCCCGTGCTGGTACTCCTCGTCCCAGCTCTCGGTGACCAGCAGGCGGACGCCGGGCCACTCGTTCATCACCGAGTAGGCCAGCACGTTCAGCTTCTCCTTGCAGCGCTGAAAAGGGCAGAAAGTGGAGATCGATTAGGTATTGTTAATAGCCGGCCCAGACGCCATGTTTAATTCACCACGCAGCACGCACAAGCGAGCGAGATGGATATAGTGCTTGTGAGGGGCGTGGCATGCGGGCGTTCATTCCATGGGCCCAAAGGGCCCAATGCGTTCATTTCTTCAGTGGAGACTGAGATTTTGTTTTACTTCTACATTTTACAAGAAGTTTAGATATTAAAAATAAATAATAACTTATTGCTTTTCGCTTGTTTTAAGAACAAATGTTACTGAAATAAGAATAAACTGGTCTAATCTCTATGATTTTTTGGAGGAAAAAGGTTTTAATGCAATATCAACAAAGAAAATCTCAACAAGCTTTAAACATTTTTGTAATCCTATGTTTTAAAAAGTTGTGAGTTTACTAAATATATTTTCTTGGTATAAAGTTTAACTATTCATTTTATAAAATCAATTAAATTTAAATATCTGTTGGTATGTATTTATATTATAGTCAACTATGGGTTAATATAAACTCTCAGAATTTTCTTAAAATCGTTCATAAATCGAAAAAATGCATTGTACTCAGATTGAGGTACATATTTTTTCCAAGTGCATTTACCTTCCCCGATCTGTGAGTCTGCCCTTTTTGGCCGCATCCTTTGAACCTGTTGCTGCAACCTCAACAAACAGCCGATCGTGTTTGCCCAGTTCCCTTTTGGCCAAAGGCTTATTTGCCCATGCTTACGCGCAATTCAAACACTGACCCTCCATGGTGACCCTAACCCACGCTCGAAGATAGACCTTTTATTTTCTCCCTTTTCACTCTTTGTTTTTCCTGTCGATAATATGAAAATGCTTACGCTTTGTTTGCCAATGTGGTGGGTGCTCATCCGTTTGTCGGCTCGTTTCCATTTGATTTTTTAGAGGAGAGGATCAGAGTAGAAATAAATATGCCAGCCAAGCAGAAAAGGATTCGAATAAGTCTATGCAAATATTTGATATCCAAAGAAAAGAAGAGAAATAAAAACCAAGACGGCAACAGAGTATCTTAAAGATTGAGTCGGCCACAAAATCAATTATCAACGGACAGAGTCCGGGTGACAGGATGTTGCCTTTGTGGGCAAACAGAATTCGAGCCGTAAAATCAATTTGCGCCACAGAGATCCTTTTCTCTTTTTTTCTTAACAAACCACAGCGATCAGTTTTTGCCTTTTTGGGCTTATGTTTTGATGAGGTGTGGATCTGTAGCGGTCTGTGTTTGCTATTATTTGGCCAAAAACAGAGCTGCCAAATTTGTCACACAGTTGCGGAACAGCCGCAACCGCCGCAACTGTGGCAAATTGAGGTGGTGGCAGGCCGCATTCCGGGAAGAGTTCAATGATATTTGCTCACCCTGCTGCAACTTTGCTTTATTAAAAGGCTTAACCAGTCGAGAGTCGAGAGTCGAGAGTCGAAAGCCATGAGCCAAGCCGTGCTAATGAGCACAAAAGCGTAACGACAAACAGAGTATGGATATGGATATATCCATTGAGCTATGGTTGGGGGAAAGACAAACGCTTTTGTCTTAAGCACTGCCAACGATGTTTACCCAACATGCTAATGCATTGAGCTCGAATTCGAATCGATGTGCTGCGCTGGACGCGCAATGAACAAACAACAACGGCCGGCTCAGATCACAGATCTCAGATCTCGGATCTGGGATCTGGGATCTCGAACGAATCCCATATTCCACATATCCCAGGGCCCTCGGAAGACGAACTCCCAGCAACTGCAGGTTCGTTTGCCGACGGGTGCGTAAGGTAAACATTTACGGATACACGGCGTCGGCGGCCCAAAAAGATGGCTAAATAATGTGTGTGCCTTGTAAGTGGCCGTTAGACAACAGCGTCAAGTGTAAATATGCCCGTGCCCTGGCATCTCGGGGGATCGGAAAACCCCGATCCATGCCCATCATACCGCTCTCTCCACCCGAAAGCTGCATTAATTAGACATTCAACAAGGTGTGAACTTTGCCCAGCCATTACCCCGAAAAGGGGAAAATCAGAAATCCGACCACGCCCCATTGTGTGTCGGTGTGTTTACACGCATCAGTCGACTGCATTCGATTTCCTACAGCTTTCCACCTCGATTTTGGCTATTTCGGTTTTAGTTTTTTTTTTATACCCATTTCGACTGATGCGTTTTTAATGGCCGCGACTGCAGTTTTATTGATTTAAATTGTCTGGCTGGCTGCCAATTTGACGCTTTTAATGGTCGGGCGAAATTATTATGGCACGAAGATTATTAGGCACTCATCATCATTAGGCCGCGGCCAAGTCAAGACGAGTTGGCCGAGTCAAGTCGCGTTGGCCAGGTCGTCTTAATAGCCCGGTCTCACCCGGAGACAAGTTCGGGGGCTTTGTTTGTTTTGACCAGGCCCATCCCATTTCTGCACCGTTTTTTTCTGATTTTTTTTTTAATTTTTGCGATGGTCTCGGATTACTTGGTACCCCAGGGAAACCGACGATTAGGAAACGACACAATTTAACGACATAATTCAAGTGCGCATTAAGTTACGGCTGCCAGGGGAGTCACCCCTTTTTTTTATATTCCCTATATTCCGATGCACGTGCTCTATGGTGTAAGCAGATATGGCATATCCTTTGATTCCCGGCACTGATTGCGATCGCAGAGGAAGCGAAAACTTACAACTGAGGAAGCGACACAGGATATAGTCAAAAAAAAAACAAGGAGAAACGATGAAGAAATCACGTCACCCACCCGATGTATATGTATATGTATACACCACATACACGATATGTGTGTCAACGGGGGCTGAGGTGGGCCACTTGAGGGGCCGCCACTTAGGTGGCAACTTAGGGTTTTCACGGATTCTGGAGTTCGGAATCTAGAGTCTAGAGTCTATCGTATAGAGTATGGAGTCTGGAATCCCTTGTGTCACTCAGCGGGCCTTTTACCGCCCTGTGTGGCCCACTCGAGCACACAGATTTCCTCACTTAATTGGCGAACTGTTATGGATCCTCTGATTGATTCAAGTGCAATGATTCCAGGGCCAATGCCAATCCGCAGCTCCATCACTGTTTATTTGTGTTGCAAATCTATTCACAGCTCTCTTCATTAGAATTAGCGGCGGTCTTTGATTGTTTACGATGCGCTGGCAGCGCAATTATTACAGCGCAAAATCGTATATGTATATAAAAAAAAACGAGGAATAAGGGACAGCCCAGCGTCTGAAGTTTTAATTAATTGGAAACGGATCGCGGGGAATGTGACTGTGTTTACGGAATCTCGAGAAATCTCCGCATACTCAGGGTCCGAAGTTTGCTCCTGTCTGTTTGTTTTCGCATTTTGTTTCGATTATAAATGGCAGGGCATTAAACATTGGAAACCTTTATTGGATTAATTTGGGGATTAAGATTTCTGGATTGCTGCTAATTGAATTTTTACCACTTGGAAGCAGTCTGATCTTTAAAGTTTATTGTATTTATATCATCAACATATTAAATATTCTCCAAAACCTTTTAAAATAATAAAAAGATTATGACTGCTTTTATAGCCAAGTTTTCAATTTTCTTCTCCTTGTAAAAATTTCCATTTATTCAATTTTAAAGCCCCTCCCCCCCTCCTCGAAAACCCCTCAACGCATTACAAAAGCTCGTAAATCTCGCGTCAAATAAATGTCCATAAAAGGAAGGCGTCATTTTATTGTTATTAATTAAATGCTATTAATTTGCAGAAATCGTAAATTAAATCTCAGTTGTGGCCTATTGCCTCACCTGCCTCGCGTCTGCCTGCCACATTTAATGTCCCCCGGCGATCAGCAAAAGTCATTTGGAGGAGTCTCAGGTAAGAGCCGAGGGTTCGGGCCGGGTCTTAAATGATAAGCGCCATAATCCCTGATGTGTGATTAACTTTGATGATGAGTTATGAGCCGCACATTGGCACTGATGGGGCTGCGAGCTGCGAGCTGGGAGCTGCGAGGATGGGGCTTCGGGCTCCAGTGCTCCAATGTTCCAATGTTCCGATGACTTGCAGGAATCGAGGGGAGCCATGTGAAATGTGAGTCACTCGCCCAGCAGTAATGTGATAGCCGCGACGCGATCTCTGATCGCGATCTCCTCCAGCGCAAGTTCATAAAAGTTTTATGCAAATAAAGCAAAAGCCAAAGCTAAAGCCAAAAGGCAGAGCAAATATCGATGGCATTTTGGGCCAACAAATCCTTGAACATTCGCGCTTGAGTGCCCTCGTAAAAGTATCAAATTGATTAATAATAATATAAAAGCATCTCGCACAAAAGCAAAACAAACAGTGCGAATGCGGATCGAGCAGGGACACTCGGCTTTATATGGGGATATATATTTGGGGACTTTGGCGATTTGTCCACTTTGCCTGACTGATGTTTGTTTGATAAGTTTGATTACTTTGTTGCCCGCAGGAATGTTCCCACGAATTTGGCTGATGTTTTGCTTATCGCAGCATTTGACGTGATTTGACTTGAGTTTTTGGCAAGGGAAAATGAAACTGAAGCTCTGACATCATCCCGCCCAGTGTTTTCTTCCTTCCCTTCTTTTTTGTTTTTTTTTTTTTGTCATAATAGGATCAATTTTGAGTCATAATGCTCTATTAAAATGCCTTTGGGCTGAGGGCTTACTTTGATTTGATTTGATTTGATTTGATTTGAGTTGATTTGATGGTGATGTTGATGTGCATGTCTGGAAGAGCAGAGAATGAAGTCTGAGGACTGGGACTGGGACTGCTGCATGCATGTCAATAATCATATCGGATTACCCATTGGCTTTGCCCTCAGCCCCATTGTTGCTACAATTTATGAAATTTTAGAACTTATGCTGCGGCTTTTGACGCATTCTTTTGTCCATCCACATCCATCTGTCCGCTGCGGTTTCTGCTGCTTGTCTAATCCCGTGGCATTCGAGATACTTGGGTTGGCTCTGAAAAAGGCGTGTTCCCTAGACACATTTGCCCGTAATTACCTGAACCTGAGGCAATGACTTGTCATAAGCTCATGCATTTTACGATGCTCTTTCGGTTTTGCCACTCTATGCCCATTGCTGAAATGAAATTTAGCAATTTGCTTATGCAACAACTGCATCACACCCACACACACAAAAACAGTCAGGGACACACAGTTAGCAATCCGTTTTGTTTGAGCGTTTTAAATAGCCACAACGAATTGTTTACCAGCTGAAATTCACGCACAGCGGCCAGTAAGTCACTCGGTCTGATAGCCAAATCCAAATCCACATAAAATACGATTTAGTTGCGCTGCTGCTGGTCCTCAAAAACTGAACGACTGAAAAACTGAAGATCTCAATGTCACTGGCACTTCGGTAGCGGAACAGTTGCCGTTGTAAATATTTGCCTTGGCGAACAACAGGATTTTTATGTACCCCGAGTGTCCTTGGCCATTTAGTCAAATGGTCAAATGCCCGAAGGACCTTGGCCTTCGGTGTCACCGTGATATTGCTGCCGTGCGAGCAACTGTTAATTGTTCGCCAGTTTCTAGAAAAGGCTGCGATACCTTTTGATTGCATATCAAATTCAAGGTAACATCTGAAATCGCTGCTAGCCATTTAAAATCCCCCGATGGGCGCGTGGCAGTTGCAGAATGCAATTTGGGAAAAGTTTTCAAGTGAAACCCTAGCCGGCGAACAACTGTTTCGGCATGTGAATCATTCCGGTACAGTAAAATCAGATCTTAGAGATCGGAATCCGTTCTGGGAATCTCTAACTGACTAACTACACCATAAATCAATATAGTGAAAGTCATTATAGCATGAGTGTTATATTGTAATCTTAAATCAACTATATTATTTGGTTGACAGCCGTAATCGGTCTTCTCATAGTTTTTATTGTAGGTGTGTTGTTCAATAGCCAAATCGTGGCCAAGGGAACTGGAAGTCCAGCACTTGACAAGTTTAATAGCCTGTTTATCAAGCTTATCAATAATAAGGTTATTTTTACACCTGGTCAGCACTTAAAATTTCATTAAAATAACCAACATCTACCAGATAAGCGACTGTGTCCATGGTAAGCGTGCCGATTAAATGTCAGCAACTTCAATGTCAGCCTTCTTAGGGGGGCTTGACTGTTGGCCAGACTGTTGACGGTAATGCAACCACCACACTGTTGGCTAATTGGAACTGCTGTAGCTGTCGCCGGAATTAAGTACTTATTTTAGCTGTTTTGCACTTTGAAACCCAACCACCCCCCCATAGAGTCGCCACCCCCCTCACTTTCGCTGCCCCCGATACTCCCCCTTTTAGGGCGATAAGATATTGCTATTCTTCGCCTTAGCTGGCGTCTTAACATACATTTTTCTGCAACCGATATAGCACAACTTGCACTGAAGAATATTTTTACGTGTTTTAGAAACTATTTCGATAAAAATGGAAGATATATTTTAAGTGATAGATATAACCGCTAGCACTAACAAAGACATGTTGGGTAAGTTAATATAAAGAATTTATATTGTGTTCAACATCAACTCAACTTTTTCTAGCAATTAGCATATTAATAAAAACCTAGAATATATTTGAAAGACCTTCAAATAGCCTTGATCATATCCTATCCGATTCAAGGTGAACTATTTTTTTTTCTGTGCTAGCATGTAGCTACACATGTTGGCAAATACACGCTGACTATCTGGTGGATAGCACATGTGTATTGGCGAGCGGGCTACTTGGCTGCAGTCCGCTTATCAGACAAACGCCGGCGATAAGCGGCAAATGCTCGCGTGCCTCGTTTGGGGGGCGCAGAAGGGGTGGACGGAGGGGTGGTTGGGTAAAACCCGGTAAACACCGGGACTCGTAATCCCCCGCACTCAATACCCTGTTTGTTGTCCAGCGCGAAATCGAAAACGCATTCGTCGAGCGACCACAATGTTGATTGAACTATTTGCAATGATGATCCCCGGATCGTTTGGGCTTGAGGTTGTTGAACGCGCCTCTTGTTTGTTTAGATTTGGTCCGGCTTGGCAGCTTTATGGCTCAGTTCCTTGGAATTCAGTTCGCTATCTACCTTTCGTCCACAGAGCTTTCGAGTATCGGGCTTCCTGTTATTAAGCACTCGCGAAATAAGTGCAACACGGCGATAAGATGCATATTTAATCACAATGACCAATGCTCAAAACCAATGCGACATTTTTTGGCCTGTTTTATGGTTCGCTGTCATAAAGATTTTGAAATAGCCAATGCGAGCCGATGATTGGGCACTTTTCCGCCACGTAGCGTTTATCAATGGGAACTGAGTGGCACAATCTCGTGCCATCGGGCGATCGGTAGATAGCGTCTAGCAGCGCCAGCGATTAGCGATCGCTAATTTGACAAGTGCGTTTGTGTTCACGGGTGGCCAAATGTGAGGGCAGTGCGCAATAAGCACGGAATTAGCCTAGCCCCAGAACGGAACCCAGCTGTCTATCAAGCCATGGCTATTGCCCCAGAAATCTGGGAAATATCAGCTCGGGTTTCCTTTCTTTAAGTCACAATATTTCGATTGATTTCTTTTTACACCTATAAGCCAACAAGCGTGCTCCTATCAGTTCTACCGGTAGTAATTCCTATATCTAACCTTAATGTGACACTATTTTAACACTAAAAATATCAATCGATATTGGTTACTCACATGATCGAGTCATTCTATTGCCAACAAGGGTTTTTTTTTTATATTTCTAGTAACATTTTTATCAAGTAACGTTTTAAATGACATAATATTGATTAATTATTAATCATAGACAAACAATTTGCGAACAAATTAAGGGGCGTGACTAGATTTAAAAGTCATGTTGGATTTACCCAGATAAGTGGTAATTTCCCATGACAAGGAATATATTTGCCCCTTTTTTGGCATATCACCGAGTTTGTGAAAAGTAATGTATAGTTATTGGCTTACCTTGCTCATGAAACGATCCGCTCCAGTGCCCTCCTCGTCGCGGAAGAGGATGTCCCTGTTGTAGTTCGGCACCAGGTCCTTGAATTTGGGCGAATTCCGCCGGATCTCGCCTTCCATAGGGCCAGAGGCGCTGTTCGTTAACTCGGAGAGATTGGGAATGGTCTGCTTGAGGACCAGCGGGTACAGGTTGCGCGCCCTATGACGGCCCAGTCCTCGGCCAGGACCGCAGCTGTGGGCCGGGGTGAAACTCAATGGCAAGACCAGCAGCAAAAGGGCCATTAGCGAGGTCAGCCTGCTGATGCAACGCTGCGTATGCGCAATGTGGCGCATCGTTTGCGATTCTAGAGTTGCGGAAACGGAGCTCGAGTTCGATTTGGAGCTGGAACTGTGGCATTTGGCGTCCAAAGAGAGACAGGTGACACTGGCGGCACTGGCCCACGGCACAGAGCTGATGCTATCCATTATTTATTTTGGATATTTGTCGCTGGCTGTTTCTCTTGCTTAAATATTTTTGGTTATTTAGCACTTCACTTTTGGCACACTGAGACACTGCGGCGGCAACACGTTTACTTTATTTTTCTTTAATTTTTGTTTGATTATTTAACTTGGCTAAATCGAAACTTGAATCGGCGGTATCGCAGGTCCTAACTTAACTGTTCTCCGCTGAACTGGCAGTTAGCTCTCGGATCGGACAACCGTTGCGCTCGCACTGTGATTGACAAATGACATTTCCGAGCGGAGTATCGAGCGCGCAGAGTGTTCGAGTGCGAGTACGGGTACGAGTACGAGTAGGGCAGCTAATACGAATACGAATACGAGTACGGATACGAGGGTGCTTTCAAGAACCCTAGGCATTGCTGCTCACTCACACACACACGCACAACTGGCCCGAGTTCATTTTTAGTTACAGTGGTATGGGTATGGCACTCAACGATCGGGTGTTGAGTTCATTCTTATGCTGCCTTTTGCAGGCTAACGAAAGAGCGGGACAACTATACTGTTGCATGGCATACTGACAAGACTGGTTTGCAGGTGTTGGTGCCTGGGTCTTCGGGTCTTATGTACTCTTACCACGCCAAGCGAGGCTGCCAACAGATGTTGGACGAGATGGTAAGGCATGGTTCGGTCCATTATGGCCATGTATGCCTGTTGCCAATTGGATGTGCTGGTGTGCGTTCGACTGAAGAGCCGCATCCCGCATCCTCAGCTGCAATTTCTCTTAACACTTGCACTACTCGACTCTTGTGGCTTGTTAGCCGCTTCTGGCCCTGCAACTCCTCCATCGCCATCGCCACCACTCATTGTTCACTTTTTTTCCGTTGCCTTTCTTCGTTTTGTTGTTCGTTTCGCTTTATTGCTTGTAAATTAATAATGTTCCGGTTTTTTGTGTATTGTGTGACTCCTGGACAGCCTTATATGGTATATGGTATGCGGAGTATATGGTTCAATGCTGCTTCCGTTTGGCAATCTTGACTGAAGTGTTTTTTCGCTGGGATTTTTAGCCATAGCTATTATTAAAGTGTTATAAGATCACCATAGACTCAGAGCTGATGACACATATTGAGTAATTAATAAACCCCATTAGTGGCCAAGTTCCGATTAGATATGGACTCAGGATGCTTGAATTACTGGCCAATCTATCAGAGGAAATTGGGCTCCGCCAAAAGTTCCGTTCGCCGCATTATATATACTAGCGATTATGTCTATATATTTTGCAATGGCGATAACGAAATTGGCAAATACAATTTGCAATTAGGTACTTTATATTTATGCATTGCAAATAACTATGACTGGCGGATGATGCCGCTTTTCTAGAGATCAATAAATTTCCAGTTTTTATCTTTGTTGACATTGGCAGATATAGAATTCTCCCGAACTGCGGTTGCTATATCGACATTGGCTTTTTCGCACATCTTGAACTTGAGTGTTTGTGGTGCCATAGTGCTCGCGCCCCCGTCTATCCATTGTTTTGGGTCTTTCTCAAGACCTTTTTGCGGTTGCACCCGGGTCTATTGACACTGTCACTTGGCGAGCGCGAATCGCGGAATACGCCCGTCCATGTATGCCCAAGAAATTGTCACCTGCGATCTGGGGTGGAGAACAAAGGGCCAAGGTGCACCTGCCCATGTAACGGATTCGATTCCGAGTGGCCAAATATCTTCTTTTTTTTTTTTTTTGGTAACGCTCAGGAATGCAAAGCAAAGCGTAGCATAATTTCAAACAAAAAAAAAACCAAACCAAACGAAACGAGTGAGGAGAAATACAGAAGAAATACATTCAATAGCTGGTCGTGGCGGCAAAAGATATAAGGGAAGGCAAAACGCCATCAACGAGATACACGGAACCAAATTAAAGATGAAGAAGCTGGAAAGGGGGGAGTACGAACTTTGGATGCTGGGGCATCTGTGTGTGTGTGTTCGTGTGCCAGAGTCTATGTGGCTGCCACATAAATTTGTGGCTTCCTTGTGTGCGGGGCAACTCATTACGTTCGCTGGTGTGTGTAGGTTCGGGCTGTGCATGTCTTGGGTATCTGTGTGCGTGGGGCGGAGCTGCTTAAGGCGCTCATTTGTGAATGAACACACCGTGAACAAGGCAGATACAGATACGAAGACCATCCCGGGGCCCAGACAACAATCGCTCCGGCACTTAATGAGCATGAATAAATGGCATCGCCGACCGTGGAGCAAGCGAGACGGCCAGCGGGCCCAAAAAAAAAGAGCTAAAAAACACTAAATAAATAAACTAACAAAAATACTTTCCAGGCCCTTTGAGATAAAAAGCCGCAGATTAGTTTCTGTAATTAGATTTGGTCCAGCACTGATTTATGTGAATATTAATGGGACGACAGTTAGAAACCGAAATTGAATTTGAATGGGAATCCGTAATGCTGCACCGCAGAAAACTTTACACATATATGATATTTAATATAAATATTTATATATATTTTGTACTTTAAAAAATTAATCAGAAATTATTTTTAAGTTTCAGCAATCGATCAATATTTTAAAAAGTCTTGTTACATTTGTACTTCAGTTTGAATATTGAATGAACATTTTTACCATGCATTGAAAATTTGATATTTGATAGATTCCAAACGATCAGATAACGTTAAGAACACATTGTATGTATATATATATTCTACCAGAATTCTTTAAGAGGTTTTTTTAAAAAAGAAAATTGTAAATTGCCTAACTCTTATTACTTTTGTATCATATTATAACGGTTTAGAGTTTATTTTTTAATATACACTTTTTCAAAAAATACTTGAGCAACAACAAAAATACAAAAGTTCTAATATCCAGTAATCATATTCATTTATAGTGTGCATTGAATTATAAAATTGAATATAAGTTAACTTAATGTTTGGCATTTGAGATGTTATACTGTATCTTAAACATTACTATAATAAGAAAATTGTCGAAATATCTGAAAGAGTAATTGAACTACTCGTATGGACAAAACGGTATTTGGAGCAAGTGAAGGTTTGTCTTTTTTCGTTTACCAGAGCCTCCGAATAGACGAACCGGAAATACCCAGCCCATTCGCTGGCCAACTGGGGGACTCACAGCCCGGTTCGCAGTTCCTCTTGGCCAACTCGGCGCGGTATCCATGGACAGATGCCAAAGAGCAGATGGAACGCCATTTTCTGTGCGCCATGGCGCGTCCGCATCCAACGGCGTCTCCGTCTGCTTTTAATTTCTTTTAATGGAAGTTGTTAACATGGCTGCTGCTGCCTCGCCCGGGTCGACTCCACCTCCGCCTCCTGCCTCCTCGATCCCTTCCTCCTGCTTTGCGGCTGATTTTCGGTTCGGATCCCACCATTCCCACCAACGCCATGGGTTGCGGCTGATTTGCTCTTTTTGTTTCTCTTACTTTTCGTTGGTGTTTCGATCATAAAACTTCGATATGAAACTTGAATTTTTGTTTCTTTTTTTATGCACTTACACAGGTTGCGGGCATATGGCTTGCGTAATGCGATTTGGGGAGAGTGCAGTGGGAAGTGGCTTAAGGATGATGCAAAAAAAAGAAGCCACTTATTTTTAATTAAAAATATAAAACGAACAGTTAAAGCCGTTAAGCTATATAAGATCCTTTAAGTAAATTAAATTTTAATGAGGTTCATTTCGTAAGCCTAAGTACTAACAGAAAAAATTGAAAATAAAAGGTAAAGTTGAATTTGTGGAAATTGAAAGAGAGACAAGGTTATTACATTTTGGACAACATAATATAATGTTGGGAATGGGTGTTTTAAAATTTGAATAAATTAAATAGTTGTGAGACCTTTTTTTCTATAACATAAATATGTTTTCTAAAGTTATAATGAAAGCAGTTATGAGAAACATATTTTGAAAAAATAATTTTAGTAAGTACTTCCGATTTTGAGACAGTATTTTAATTTTAATAAGACGCCTGTTAACCGGCAGACTAGTCAAAATCCTTTTCCATACATAGAGTATCTATTGTTCGACTCAACGACTGACTCCACAAGTATGCCGTTCTCGCTTGGGGTTCATTGAATTTCCGAAGTGCTTTATGATCACTGGGCTAGCTGTAGCTGGCAAGTTTGTTGCCAAAGTCTTTTGTTTTGGCTGCACAAGTCGCGCGGCTGGGGCATTAGAGAGAATCATGAGCGGACACATAATTAACAAATAATGGCCATAACGCGTGCTTTGGCCCGTCGCACCGGTTTGCTCGGCTATCTTTTGTGAAGGTCGCGGTAATTTAATAACTGATACTAACTAATATTTACGAGAATATTAATATTTTTAATGGCCACATTTGATTGGCAGATAAAGGGGTTCGGATACCAAAAGCAAGCCCAAGCGATCCAAGCCGATCACACAGTCGCTGTTCTCATATCAAGCCAATGCTGATTTCGATTTGATTCCAAGAATCAGACACTCAATCATGCTGCGCGTTGTGGGTCTCTTGTTGTGACTGCGGCGGTTGCTGTTGGCCTCATAGCGTGCGACAAATGCCACTAACGGTTTGAGGTCTCTAATGGATGTTGACATTTACGGCTACCAGGGATTGGAATTGGGATAGGGACTGGGACTGGGACGGGGACGTGGACTTGCACTCGCAGGGGCGGCAATTCTGGCTGTTTAATTCACATAAATCTAAGTGAAATGCCATTGGGGAATTGCTGCCGAGATAGAAATTAGGCAAATGGATGGATGTGCCTCCGGTATTCCGTGGAATTTGCCACCACAAAGGCGGGAATAGCCACTGAATGGGCCCGGGAGCAAAAGGGGCAGGGGCCAGAGGCTTGTAACATAAACATTCACAGCCAGAGTCCCAGTAACTGGGCATAAAAAGGGTCTCAGTAACACTCGGCCAGCCTGTGTGTGTGTGTACAAACATTTGTCAACCGGGCTCCTTTTGATCCTGGCCGGCACGAGAGTCAAAAAGTCGTAAGCGGCATAGTTATCATTGTGCAGTGGGTCCATTGTGCTATCAGCTGGCAGCGATCGATGCGGTTTAAACAGCAGTCGGGCAGTCGAGATCACAGTGAGTAAGCAGCGTCCGTTGGCCCAGAGGAGGGCTGAACAGGAAAGGCATCTTGGCCACATGCGGCGCGTATTTGGCCAATGCAGCTAAATGTGCCGAAGATTCCTGCCAAATCAGTACACAAATCAAATGTCGGTAGATATGGAAACATATGCCACTTATTCACTGGAAAAATATTGAACTATGATAACTACATATTCTTCGAAAAACGTTTACGATCGTGAGGTCAAAATCAAATTAAAATAGGTGTTGTTAGCTTTGATTAAATACTGTAAGTGGACGTTTTGCATCCCATTTCCAAAAAATGTGTAAACAAATAGAAGCCGATCAACAGTTAAGTATGGTTTTATAGAGGTTGTATTTTAGAAATGGAATTTTCTTAGTTAAGTCATGACCCCAAATCATGCAAATCTTTATTTTTAGACGCACAAAAAGAAATGAATCTCTATAAATTTCGATGTCCCACACTGCAAAACAATCATTTTCAGATCATAAGATCAAAGAAGTGTTCGGCAAATTAAAAGTGGCCTTTAAATACTACTCCCAAATAAATAAAATTCTCGCAAACACAAATTTGTTTAAGCCACTTGTTTTTAAGGGCCCACCCTCCGATTTGTTGTTAACAAATTGCACTGCATCATAGAAGGAATCCCATGGAGCTTCACCCATGCTCACCGCAAAGCCAAGCGGCAGCACTTACTTAAAATATTAAACAACGCTGAGCCGTTGTTGCCCTCTCGAGCACCGAGCACCGAGCATCGAGCATCTGAAGATCCGCATTCGAGGAGTTGGAGGAGCTAGATCCAGTCCAGACGCAGACGAGTCACATGGATGCCCGCTCAAGTGGCCGTGCAGGCGACAGACCAAAGGGGGATTTCTTTTCCGAGGGGTATGAGCCCTCGTATTTAAATGTGTATCATGGCGGTGGTCAAGTGAAGCGCATGCGTTGATGGACTTGAATTATATGCGACTTAAGCTCTGCGGCTGCCGTTGCTGTTGCTGCCGCTGATGTTGCATCGGCATCCTCGGCAGCCAGTGCCATAAAAATTAAAAGTCATTATGGCCTGGAACAGCATTTAAGCCGTGGCAATGCGAGTGTCTTTCTGAATGTGGGGAGATGGAGATGGAGATGGGGATGGAGACGGGGACCGTGGCACATTCCCACAATCGGAGAGTCCAAGTCCCAGATCCCGGGATCGGATCGGATCGGCTCGAGTGTCGCTGGGCTGTCAGAAAGTGCCATGAGACGGCAGCCACATGCGTCCACTTGGAGTGGGTTAATATTTGTTTGCTTTATCATTTTGAATTGACAGCAAAGTGGCGCTTGTTGCTCTTGTTGTTGCCGTTGTTGTTGCTGTTCTTGTGTCCCTTGTTGTTGTTGCCGGCGGACCCAGCGGGCGGGCCGCGTCGAAGGCTCAAGTTGTTTGTTGTCTGCGCGCCGATTATGGAAAGTTGATGACCAACAACAGCACGTAAAACACATCATAGGTGAATCAACGAAAGCCGTGCTCCTTCTCAAGTGCTTTCGGGTCTTAGAAAATTGCACATTTTTATCTTCGGAGGGTTTTCAATTTCGCCATGCCCGTACTCCCTTTTTGTTATGCGCCGCTCGTGGCCAAATGCCGCCTGGCCGCAAAAACCGCACGCGGAATGCAGCCACTGCCGCACAGTCACAGCCGCCGGCAGCCATGGGTTAAAGGGGGCTGGAGGGCGGGGACTGGCCAAGCAACACTTCGTTAAGTTGGGACCAACATCAACGTCAACGCCTGTGCCGGTTAAATAGATTTTCGATACCCTAAGCAAGAGGCATAAGGAGTACATTCAGATTTTTATAAGCTTTTTACCTCTTATGAAATTATTTTATTAATGTTTAAAAAATGTTAAATAATAAAGTTTGCCAAAAAGTTCACATATATTTATTATTGCTTAAATATTGTTTTCTTTTGACAGACATTAAAATAAAACAATGATTTTTTGCCACAATTATTTTCTGCATTTTTTATTTGCAATCTCAATTTTTCTATTTTATTATATACAATTAACAATTCTAAGAGGTGAAAGCAAAAAGGTAAAAAATTATTTATAATAAATTAAATATAAGGTTTAGAGGGTATCCATTGCATCGATTTCCCATTTTCAAGGCAGCCTTCTTGTCATTCTTTTTTGGGGTCGCCTTGCGCTCTCCTTCGCTTGGCTTTGATCTGCGGATGTTGCAGGCAGGACAGCAGGCAGTCAGTCAGTCAGGAGTCCGGCAGTCGGGGCCCAGAGGTAGTCACACGAGCCCCATCCCATCCCATCCCGTCCCGTCCCGTCGCGTTCCGACCCATAACATCCATCCCATCACTTCCCGACCAACTGCAGCAAATTGAAAATTGATTTTTGAGCAGAGCTTGGCGCGCCAAGTTCGCTGCCTAAGTCTTTCGTTTCGTTTCGATTCCTTTGGATGAGTCAAAGTACACGCCGTGAAATTCCCACATAAATTGCGCGCGATGTCAAATTAAAAATGCCTAATGAGCTGATCGGTCCGAACCCGATGCAAAAGAGCTGAAAAATGCATTAGAAGCAGCAGGGACCCGTGGATCGGATCGGGTCGGATCTTAGGTCCTATATATACACCCTTACTTTACTCCAGTCGGCGGCGGCGAAATGTATCGTGTTACAAATCACGGCGGGGGCAGCGATGGCAGCGGCAAGAACAAGTTTCGAGTGGAAATGCGTGTAGCGTGCAGCGTGCGAAACACTGCAGAACATGGACACGAATCGAGATCGAGGCGAAAGCCTGATGCTGTCCCGATCTCCTCCCCGGCTGCTCTTGTGCATGTCCATCTAAAAATAGTTGGGAGATGGTGGCGGCGGGCCATGCTTTTGCCAGCATGAAAAATGGCAACACTTTTGCGCTCATAAAACCTATTTATAAGCCAGCCAGCTACCTAAGATGGGACTTTACTAATATGCCCGCCAGTTTCCACTGCAGCGTGCTCCTTCACAAGCGCAGGCGCAAGCGCGTGAGATCGCCACGCAAGATCAGAAGGTGCGGGAGGAGGCGAAGAGGGCAAGGATGGCAGGCAGCAGGAGCCCATGGACCAGGGTCCAGTCCAGTTTGAGGCCGGGACCACACAAATACAGGCACGCGTTCGCTGACAGAATAAAAATTGTTGCGCTTGTGTTTAACGCGCGAACGCGGCGATATCGCAGCAACGGCAGCATCTACCTTGTTTCAAACTGGCTCCCTGGACCTCGGTGGCTCAGGTTAAAGTGGCAGTGGAGAGATGAGATAATACACTCATCAAAATTTGAGCAGAGTTTTTGATAAGTCAAAAATATATTAATATTAAATCAAAATTTAAACGTCATTTAAAAAATATTTTGTGTGGCCTTCAATTTACTTAGTTTCATTTAACATATTCTGATTCTAAATATATTATAACTTTCTTTGAATTGTAAAGATGTTTTTCATTATAGATTAATAAGGAATCAAATTTATGCTTAACTTTTTGTTGAGTGTAAGGGCAGGGCAGGCAGGCAGTCGGGCATTGTCGGCTTGCTTAGCTATCACTGAACGATTATCGTGCATTTTAAAATTCTTACGAGTTTTGTGCTGCTGATGCCGATGCTGCTCTGCCTTTACCTTTTATATTGCCCTTTTCTCTGCTGCTCTTTGTTGTGGTTGTTGGGCCAGATTGGAATCACGCATGGGAACCAAGCGCCTTGGCTTTGTCTTGTCTGTAGACTGCAAAAAAAAAGGAGAACACAAAAAATTGCGGCATTCTCATCAGCAAATTAGGAGAGAAACTCAGAAGGGCTTGCTTTAAACACGGTTTTATTAATCATTCTTTTAAATAGTAATTTGTATTTATCAATTTGTTAATTGCATAGTTTACACAGTAGTAACTCTCCTTAGCAAATGCCTATATAGAAACTCCTGCTGTCCACTCGATTATTGCCAACACTTAGGTTCGTAAATATATAGAGGTGTGTATATTCGGATTGAGGCAGATGCTTTTGTTGCTTTTCTGGTCGCCTTGGACAAACATTTGTTCTTGATTCGAAATACATAACTAAATTGCTACACAATTTGCTTGATAATATTTTGATAATGCTATCATAGGTAATATGTTATATATATAAATATTTGTATTCATATCCTCTGTGGGCATAACTAGTTACATAATTCATTTGTAAAGGTTGCATTGTCTACAATGTGGAAGGGTGTTTTTGAGTCGGAGTCTATTGTTTGTGGCTTTGTCGATTCTTACAGTTTGATTATTTGTCAAACATTGCAAGACAAATTTATTGATCCTGTCTCTCTCTAAATATATATTTATTCACTTTTGTCAATAACTTTAGCAATAACACACAACATTTGCCTGCTGAGGCGAGGGAATAAAGCGAGTCACTACAAAAAGAACAAACTAAAAATGAAGGAAACGTATGAACGTCATTAAGCAAATATTGTTCTTGGTCTTTAAGTTTTATAATACCAGGAGAATGTACTTTAATTTATACTGCAAGTGATAAAAATAAATTGCTATGGCCCCGTTTCCCTGACGATTAATCCCCGATAAGAAACTTTATAAGCCAAGAGCTTTATGACATCTGACCAATATCATTGCATCGGTATTAAAATCATTCGTCGGATGCCATATAAATGGAGGTAAACAAAAAGAAGTTATTTAAACTCAACATAGCGCAAGGGAGATTTAGTAAAGACGTGAACCGCAAATGATTTGTAAAATTTTCATAGATATACTATATGGTTAAGGATATATATTTGTTATATTACCTAAAGGCTAGGCTAGGTTTAAGTTAACTTATGAAGAGCTGTCGAATTTCTTCGAGTCTAGTTCAGCGTTTATTTCTAGTAAAAGTTTCAAATTCTGCTTATTTCATTTAGGTCTTGACACACATTTGTAGTATTCTAGAAAAAAAATAATTTCATTCAAATTGATTTCACTTAGTTTATCGTGTTCCACTTATTGTGTGTGTCTGTGTGGGCTTGGATCGCACAAAACTGCATAAATCTCTTTTTATTTCATAATTGTTGTAGACAAGTTTAAAATACTAGACAGTACTTTCGGTTGCATATTGCTCGGTCTCCGCGATTTCATCGTTAAAATTCCTGTTCGGTGTTCAGTGTTGTCATTTTTTGTTTTTTGCTTGCTATTCGTGGTTAACTAATCATTTTAAACCTTTAGTTTCCGTTTTCTATAATTTGTTAATTTATTATGAATTAACTAGTTGAAACAATTGGTAGCAAACATTTGTTCTTTGTTCTAGTTGTGTAGAAGTAATTGCTCTTTTTGTTGTTACCCGATTGTGATTCATTAGTTAAAATTTATGTTTGGGAACCCTATAAGCTAGCTACTAATTCAATTTGATATTTTAGACATTTAGTTGCTCTTTTCATTACGATTGATTTCATTTTTCCGGTCTAAGTGTATAAGACAATTTTTAAAGTATTCTATGTGTGTCCATATTTTTCAACTTCAAATTCTTCACTTTGTATTTTGTTTTCTAAATGGAGCTGGAGCTTTACAACATATTTCCTTGTTGTTGTACATAAAGTCAAGTTGGTTTACAATTTGATTTGTTTTATTGCTGTTTGCTGTCGCTAGCTTGCATTTATATATAAATATTTTTATCTTTTTGTTCTTTTTTGTTTTTTTATATATTTCTGGATCACATATTCAAGTAGTTTCAAAATCACATAAAAATCACTCTTACAGTAGCGTATACAAAATACATGTGTCATCTATAAATATATATGTATGTAACGTACATATACTTTTCGATCTGGGTTCTGCTTTGATTCTTCACAGTTGAGATGGCGTGAAATGGATTTTTTGACATGTTGTAAAATTGGTTTGCATTGGTTGTTTTGAATTGAGATTGGAAAACCCGTAAGTCCATAGATCTCCCATGTATATTCGCAGAGATTTATAAAGTAAATTAGCAAATGTTTAACTGTGCCCGGTCGATGAGAGTCGAGGATATTCTGAGAGAGATGCATGCAGTTTAGTTTGTGGTATTACGCACGCTAGATTTGCGACTCAACAGCTCCATTATAAAACCAATTTATTCATTATTTGTTTTCGTGATTTTTTTGTTTTTTTGTGTACACTTTTGTCATAAACTATTAAAGCATTTACAAGTTAACACTTTTCTTTATTGTTATGTTTATTAATTTGTATTTCTTGATGATTTGGCTTCTACAAAAACACAGTACAAACACACACAGAGATAAAAGCCTTTGCGCTGCCTTTCCTAGTTAGCTTTGTAATAATATATTTCATAGTTTTTTTTTCTTTTGTATATCTTTATAGTGTTGTTTTTGTTTCCAATAAATGCCAATGCTGTTGCATTTTCAATTCTTTCCCAAAAACAGTCCCGTTTTGATTACATAATTTATCAATTTAACTCAACTAGCTAACAACACGTTTCAGATTTCTTCAACATTGACCACAGCTACCAATTGATTACGTTTGACAACTTTATCTTTGCACAAAAATAATACAATGGTTTTTGAAGACGGTTTTACATTAACTCTGGTTAACATTTTCATTAAACTCTTGTTCATTTCGCTGTATTGAGTTACTTTTATTGTTTATGCTTTCTACATCACACTCATCGAAACTGCGTTCAAATGTTCCATAAATATATATCTATTCATATTCGTTCTTGTACCATGAGCCGAATGCTTGATTTCATTTATCTTAAATATTACGTTCTGACATTGATGATTCTTTTTTGCATTTACTACATTGGAAGCGTCCAGTTGAGACTATGAAAATAAAATGAAGATTGTAGTCAGCTGCAAAATAAGTACTTAAAGCACTATATAAATCACAAAATAACATAATAGAGTATATACGTAAGTTTGTAATTTTGTGACTCGTAATTGGCATTGGTTTACAGACGCTGCACCCACCAAAGCCTAAGTAAAAGCAAAGTGTCTTAATACATTTAACTTGGTTTTCATAAAACAAAATTATCTTTTCTATAAGGAAAAGCGTAGTCGCATTTAGTTACATTTGAACTCTATTATTACTTTTGTGCAGTTGGAAAAAAAAGCATAGTACCGACTAAGATTTATTATACGTCAGTTATATATATTTTATGACGCTTGTCTTGGCTTTTAGTTGTAGTTTGCTTTCACAAGTTTTAAACACATACATATAAAATACAGTTTGAAAATCGGCTTATATAAAATCACTGGTGGTTTTTGTTTGTTTGTGGTTGTTTGCTGCTCTTCTATGCGACAATACATTGTTAAAGATTATTAACTTGTTCAATTTGTTGGTTTCTATAAATTTGTTAATAGTCAATTGCTAAAAGTGTCTAGAAAAATTAATATATTATATATTTATCATATCTTTCAACCAATTACATGGTTTAGTTCTCATAATTTCTTAAGTAATACTAGTGAAAAGTACAATATGACTGAAAGTGTAGCATATTTAAATACAAATATAAAGATACACAAATAATATATGTTGATAAAAAAAAAGTAAATGAGAGATATTGCAAATTCGTGCAGTTGGTTAGAAATAAAAAAATAAATAAGCCTAAAACACTCAAAATATCAAACAAAATAAAAAGAATCAGTTACAAACACGTATAGAAAAAATATCAAAATTTAAAAAATTTTTGAATGTACCTGTAGTTGCTTTCAGAAAAAATAAACAAAAAAATAAAATTATACACTTATTAAGAGCTGCTATCTAATTCAATTAATAGTTTGTGCCTAGTAATTGCTAATATTCATGACGATAATTTGCATAATTTGCGTGGAGTGAAAATAATAATTATGTGGCATCTCCTAATCGATCAAAAGTTTTAACTTTTTGCTTATGATTAAAGTTTGCTTTGTGAGTACCACATTGTCATGTTGTTCGCGCTCTTGATCCCTATAATCCATCCAATTACCATCGAAATCGTCTTTTGTGTCCGATTTTCAGCCAAAGGGCCACTTGTGGTCCTGTTGCTGATAAAACATGTTCTAGGTGTGGGTGGTTATTACCGGCACCTGACAGTAGGGGCACTCGGTGACCGAGCCAGCGCACGTATTGCAGATGGACAAGTGGTTGCACGGTTCAAGAGTTACCGTGCGATTGTTTTCTTCGCACTTCATGCACTTCTTGGCGTTCTCTAAATATAATACTTTGTCGACCTCCTCCAAGTCAGTGCGCAGTTTTGACTAAAATGGGAGCTGGTTAAATCCACCAATGTGAGAGTACTTATTGTAACTAACCTGCAATTGCTTAAGTTTCTGAATGGACAAGTCCCTCAGTTCTGCTGGCAAGTTCAGCTGAATCTGGGCCAGGTCGTAGCGCTCCTTCCACTCCTGCGCCTCCTGCTTGGCCTTGTCACGATGCAGTTCAGCAATCTTCAGCTTGCAAACCATATCCTCGTAGCGCCCGTTTAACTTGTGGATTTGAGCATTCTTCGTGAGCAGCTCGTTGGTGATGCGGCCCAGGTCGCTGTTATTCTGCGACTGCAGCGATTGCAGACTGAACGCATTTTTAGCCGTATTCAAGGTATTCTCGAACAGACTATTTCCCACAGAGCTGCTATTAATATCGTCGCGTATAGTATTTAATTCGGATATCCTGACCGAAGGACTAATGGACAAGCCATCGCCAAAGCCGGGCGATATGATGCGCGACGGAAAGAAGAGACTGCTTTCGTTCTGTGTGGCCGAAAGGGAATTACTGAGCTTGTTTGAGCCGCCGTAGTTGAAGGCGTCCACGTTGAAGAGATTGGCATGGTTGGTGGGACTGTAGGTGAGCGAGCTGCTGGGAATGTTGACGGTGAAGCCACCTGAGTTGAAATCTATGTAAATGAAATTAGTATTAGCATTAGCAAATAGTCGGGAAGAAACGTGTCTCGTTAATGACTTACCGTTAATTGAGTTACTTAGAGTCGTATTAGGAATGTTAATTGGCGCCGAGGAACGTGTTAATAAGCTAGTATTGGCCAGACTCGCCGACAATGAGTTCTCGCGCGGATCGTCCAGTGAGCAAGCTGCTTGCAAAAAGAGTGAAGACAAATAAATATATAAGTTTCAGTTAGGCAAGTTGGGCACATGGCGAAGCGTTTGCTGCCTTAGCGCTGACATTTTGTCCACAACCAACATTTAGAGTAGTAAATTCTGGTATCAGAACTGCTAAATACTCACAACGACTGTCCATGGGTCGTGAGAAACTTAAAAATTTGCTTGAATTTGTTGGGTTTTCCAAAGCATCTACCAACATTTTATTGGTACTATTACCATCAATGTTCAACAACTACGAAAAGAAAAAAATCGAGGAACGCAATGAGAGCAGGCCACAGGATTGAATGATTTGGTGAGAGTAGAGTTTTAAGCAGTTAGCTGATGTTGGTTAGCTGGATTAGAGCGACGAACGATGTGTGGTAGTATGTTTGGAATTAGACGATTCATACTGAAGGCTTTTGTTTTGAATGAGTGTTATTGGTTTGGATATACGTACATTGTCGCCCCTCTGAAACACGTCCTGGGCGTTTAGGTCTGGCAAGGCATTGTATAAAAGCTCGCTCAGCAAAATTTCTTGATCTCGCGTATTCCCCTCGGCTACTGAGCAAACTTATTGTTTTGGGTTGGGAATGGTTACATGAGCAACACCGAGCAGCAAAGCGAACATTGATGATGATTTCAATAGGTTTAAAGTAGTTTGAAACAGATTTGAGGGTTGATTGATGAGGCGAGTAAGAGACAAACATAGAGTTAGAACAGGATAATCATAAAAAAGTCCTACACAATTCCCTACTGCAACTGGTTGTGGAGCACAGCGCTGAAAGCTGGGGATTAACTATTGGGATAGTGACTCTTGTAGACTTACGTTCCACATGGGCAAAGGCGCAGAAGACGCTGCGCGGACAATAGCCGGCCTGCTGGACGTCGTTGCACTTGGTCGACTTGTAGATCTCCGGATGGAACTGCTGTTCGGTGCGTGTGTGACAGTACTGGCAGTTGTCGCCGGCCTCGCAGTTGCCAGGCTCGCCCCATTCCTCGCCATGCTTGACATTAGGGCAAGGTGTGGACCTACAAGAAAGAATAAGACCTGGTTAACTCTGGCTTCTAATTGACTGTCAGGAGACACCTTACCTGTACTTATACTTCCTGGGCGAACGACGCTTGTCCTTGCTGTTGTGGTACTGTGGACAGGCATATCCCTGGCGGCAGAGGCGCGGTGGGCGCTTGCAGGGCTCCGTCTTGTAGTTTGCCAGCACGTAGTTGGTGTCCTGCCACTTAGGGTCCTCGTTCATCAGATTCCGCTCCTTGTCCAGGGCATTTAGAGCATTGGTGCTGTCTAGGGTGCTCTCGGCGTTCTGCAGGGTCTCCAGCTCTTTGATGTCGTAGACCGGTGGGCGCTGGTCCTGCATTCCGTGGGCAAAGGCGCAGTGTAGTCCATTCTTGACGCAGTACCCTCGGCTGTCGGTGTCGTGGACGCACATGCATGTCTTATAGTAGCGCAGGTGGTAACGCCTTTCGGTATCTCCTGCAGTGCGGTGTAAAAAGGGGCATCTGTGGGAGAAGGAAATTCCTCATTTAAATGACGCACAAACAGGCTCTACTATAAATAACGCTGTAGTCCAGTGATCCGACTTTGGCAATACCCTCTACTCCTTAATCTGTGACACAGAATAGTACCTTATTAAAAGAAAGCAACTTTCTTAAAAATTGTATAAATATTAAATTAAAACATGAATTTGAATTGTGGAGGCCATAGGTTTAGGATTTCAGGTAGAACGCAGACGTGGTCAAACTTCAAAACAATTCAATTCAACATTCATTCACACGATAAGGTTGTTGATGCTGATTGAACTCGAATTTAAGGTGATCTAAAAGTAGGTTCAGATAGGTAATTCTCATTTTAAAATGTACTTTTAGCTTACAATGAGAAAAAAACGTAAAATCTATAAATATATAACTGGAAATATCCATAGAATATGGTTGTCAAATAATCGTTCAGGTAATTGATAGTTTCACTATATATTCTACGTACTTTTCAAGAAACACATTATACCCCTTGAACCCCATAAGTAAAGAGGGTACAAAAATACCCTGAGGTCAGAGGTCGGGCCACGAGTCTGGGTCATAAACTCCGCCTGTTGTTGTGGCTTCGAGCAGAACGTAATTGCGTAGTACTTTTAGCCCGTTCTTGCGCTTCGCAGAGCTTTTCTTCAAAGCTCGCCACTCACAATAACTGTACATTTTGAAGCTGCCGGGGAAAAATCAAAATAAACGAAGAAAACACGCAAAAGCGAAACGCAATAAAAACAATGACGCACACACTTGTAGCGAAGGCGTTTGCGTGTGTATACATGTGTTGAAAGAGCAACAACCACCATTGCAAAGCGGAGGCTGATAAGAATTTGCTAGCCCAATAAAATCACTTTCACTTTTGCACGGTGGTGACCTCGCCTACACACACACACACTAAAACACCCACGTACGCACTTACAATTTCACTTTTAGCTTTCCAGACGACGCCAAACCCCCGCACACACCCGTACCGTAGTTTTTGTTTGTAAACACGAAGACAAGAGATACACACACATCGCGAAGGAAAGAGAGCTCAAAGAGGAATCAAAAAAATACTACGTCGTTCGCTATTGCTATCTCTCATCCTCCAGCAATTTCGTCAGATATTGAATTGGGAACTTTTGGGGATCTGGATCTCCATGTACTCACTCATCGCCCTCAGGACAAATGCCAGTAGTTTCGTCGTATTTTGTGCAATAATTATCCGCACTGTAGTTGAAAGTTCCATCGCGTTTTCGCACTGGGCGACGCCGACGCTGGTTTTGAAAATGCCAATTGAAGCAGACGAAGGGGCGATGCTGGTTGCACTTGTGCTGCAAAAACGACTGGCACTGCTCAACGCGGAACTCCTTCAGGTAACTGAAATGGATGGATCGAAGGTTGAAGGTCTCGAGGAGCTTGGGATAATATAATTTTCAGATATTTACGTGTAGTGATTGGGCTTTTCTTGCTGCGAAGAAAGCAGCAGCTTGTTCGCTTCATTTGCCAACATCGTTGTTACTGTTAGCGATGACAGTATCGGTGCATCCATGTTTTATTTTCTACTGAAACATCGAATGCACGTTGCGACTATCGATACCAGCCCTTATGGTGATTTCCCACCGGGGAAGTCTTCTGATCGAATTGCTTAAAATAATATATTTGAATTAATGTAATATTTAAGTAACTTAATGTTCGTATTTACTTTATTATTTGCTCTTATTTAATCAACAACTAAATCTACTCTATAAATGTATTCATTCATTGTATAGATATTTTCAACCTATCTTAACCAAGTATATTGTATGCATCACAAAACTATTTTAAAATATAGAGCTAAATTTAAAATGAAAATTGTTCCCATGGATATAAGGAAAAAGTACTACAGACAATAATTGTTGAGAAATTTTGTAGAATTCTAGCTTAGTCTCAAACCTATCACTAAAAGGCGCGAATATTTGAATGTAAAAAATTAAAAATGTAACTAACCTGTTTTAAATATCGATTAAAAGTTATTGCACTTTTTGTATTTTTAATGTATTTATAATATTTATAAAATTTAAAAATTTTGAAAGACGAAAACAATAAATTATTTAAGAATCATAACCAAAAGAAAACGACAAATTAAAGGTTAACATTAAGTAGTTCAATGGACGTGACTTCCATCCTTGAAATGATACACCACTTCTGTGGTGGTGTAAAAATAGCTAATAAATAAGAAATATTTAATCAAATGGTATGGGAATATAGGCATTGATTTTGTCCGTCTGGCGCTGAGAAATGCACTCGCTGATCCATACGATGTTGCGACACTCCAACTGTTTGAGCTTGAAGAACGAGTAGAAAACCCCGAAGTGGAACTGCTGCAGAAAGGTCTGCACATTCTTCTTGGCCTCCACCATCAGAAAACGGTCCTCCAGCGTGATCATGCCATCGGCATCCCTCTCGAAGTTGTCAAACATCTTGCCGTATCCTTCAAACATATTGCACACGTCCCGTATTTTATCGCTGTCATTCAAAGTGGACATATTGGCCAATGCCATCTTGGGCAAGTAGCCGCATGAGGGAAACATCTTTAGCCGTTGTTTTGGACTGAATGGGAATAAATCATTAAACAACTGTATGATGAAACAGTGAATGAAATGGAAGTCTTAAATGAATGCAATAATTAAAGATCGGGGGCACACGATATAACCAAAAACAGAACACCTACCTGATATCGCTATCTATCGCATTCACAGCTATGGTGATGGCCCGACGATCCGCCTCTAAGGACAACAGATTTTTCATCACGTTGGCGGTGTTGCCGCCCAGCTTGCTGCAATAGTCGTAGAAATTTTCCAGGTACACCCGATATAAGCTCGCCCGCACGATCTCCACATCGATGCGATTTATATGCTCCCAGGGAAGATCGGGCGGCACAAACTGAGCGATGGGCGTGTCAATGAGAATGGCGTCGAAGAGCTCCGCGGAATTCGTGGCCACCTCGATGGCAGCCAATTGATCAAAGAAGCCCAGTGGATGGCACATCTTCAACAGGCGTTTAATGGATCTGTGGTTGTTCAGGCCTGCAATCAGAAGCGCCACGTTGTCTATCATAAATGGATAGCGGATGTACTCCAGAAATGTGGTCAGCGGTTCCGTCGAATGACTGCGTATGTAGTAGTATTGCTGCAGCAGGCGCTCCCTCAGAGTCTTCTCAATCACCTCCACACTCGGTTGGGAGAAGTCTCCACCAAAGATGAGACCATAGTCCGTGCCCTGGATGCTGATCATCACGTCCTCGAGGCTCTCGCACTGGGTGAGGTTCAGGTAGTCCGAGTGCTTCAGCATCCCGTTCTTAAAGCCCCGCGTTATGGCCTCCAGGTAGCCCCACTCCGTGTTAAAGATCATCGACATTTTTGAGAACTATTATTTTTAAATGTTTGCCTGGAGAAACTTTGGGTTGAATAAAAGATCGGTTGAACTGGAAATGATAGTTATTTCTCTGCAGTTATGATTATGATAAAAACCACAGTTTCTAAGTAGACTTAGAAACCGTTTTGATGTATGTTTTTATTTTTTTATATACCTATATAAGGTGTATCTAATTTATTTCTTACTTTTTTCAAGTTTTAGTCTGTTTAAAATATGAAATATTGCCTACCGTAATAGCAGTGCCGCCATCTGTCGTATGCTAAAATCGTATCTTTGATCAGCAGTTCAAATTAAAGGCGCTAGAGAGCGCCACTGCAGTTATGGGGCTGCCAGTTGCATGTCCTTTTGGTAGTAAGGCCGCCTGTAAAATTTGAACTCAAGTTTGAATCGAATAGCCGTTAATTCAATACTAATTTATTTTTTTAGCTTTACAGATCTTTGCAAATGTAAGTGTTTAATATTTTGCTCAAATCCTATTGCACTTAGTTGCTGCACTTATTCGTTATTCTCGCAGAGCACCTGCACATGCGCCTGGAGAGATGCTGGACGGAATGAATGATTCCGACCTGTTGCTTTGGGCCACTTGTTTACTTGATGCCTTCTGTTTGTTTACTCAGTCAACTAGTTGCGTTCGAGCCAACAGCATTATTACTGCAAGTTGTTACAATATTTTTGGCCTTTCATCTAGAACAAATAAACATGTGAATTTCTCGCTGAGACAATGTTTTCAATAATGTGCCGCTTTGGCATCGACTTGTTAGTGTCGCAGCGTGTGCATCGCATAAATGTGGCATTAAAACGACAATAATTATTGCCACCGAGGCATTTAATTGCCCATCACAGGGGTGTCAATGCGGACAAAGGCAAATCCTCACTTTCGCTAATTCTGGCTGACAGATGAAAAATAGAACTGTCACAATCTGTGATCATCTGTGTTTTGAAGTTGTGAAACTGAAGGGAAAAATATTGCTGGAATGGTAAGAAATTATAACAATTTGGTGTTGTGGGGTTTCTAATTTAAATCCGACCCATTTATTACAATAAATAAGGAATTTAAAGAGTAAAACTTAGATAGGTCAAGATCAAGTTATTTCAAAAACTGAAAAATTCAACAAATCTTTAAAATATTTATGAGATTTCCGTGCAGATGTTTCATTTCTATATTTAAATTCGTATGTGCTTGTGGGTCAAATACTTTCTGGGGACTTCGGAATTTCCAGTTTCCAGGTCAATGGCAAACGCTTAAGTCACGAGAGCCACCTGTTAGTTTCCACGGCGCAGAAGTAAGGGGAAAATATTGTAGACAAAATCACAAACAATGACAGACATCAGCCGATATGGGCAATAAATAAGATCACGTTGTACAATTTAATTCTGGCCGTTGTCATGTCGGGGTCTCGTCACTCCGGTAAACTTTCCATGCGCAAAGTCTTAGATTGCTGACTTTATTTGTCCCCGGCTGAAATCCCTAGTCATATGCCCGTCAAGGAGTTCGAAATACCAGATGGACAAGTGACAACTGAAATGCGATTCTAACACAAACAATCTTTACCCAAAACACAAATCTTTGCGTGGGAGGTATTTTCCGCATTGGCGAAAACATTTCTACGAACAGAGAGAAAAATAGAATTTCCAGACTCATGATCAATTCAGGAAGTGTTTAAGAATAAATTAAATCATTGTTGGGTATAAAAGCATTACCTGTTGAGGTATTTCAACGACAAAGGAAATCACAAGTTTAAGAGTCTCAAAATTATATCATTTAATAAGTGACTTGTTTAAAAATGAGAGTACGGGAAAATGTATACTATGTTACTATGTTTTATAAAATATCACATGGATGAAAATTATCTAAGTAATGCTTAAACCTTCATTTAAATATATTTATAAATGGAAATTTATATACCAATTTCGATTAAAACTTATAAACAACTTTACCATTCAGTCATTTAATATATTCATTATTTAATTTATTATTTGTTATTATTATTATTTATTATTTTATTTATTATTTTTTTCAAATAATGAGGTTCATTTTCTACCAACGAGCTACAAAATTTGTTTGTCTCCGAGCCAAATTACAGGGATACCCTCCCGCCATCCCGATTGGTTTTAGCCGATACACCCTTGGTGTAAATGGCCCGGTAAATGTAGAAGCCAACAGCGGCATGAACGGCGACTACGGTGCAGATGGCCGAAATAATGTCGGCGTCAATGTGGGCGAAACTCTTGAGGACCACAAACTTGAGGGCGAAGAAGGTGGCGATGGGAAAGCCGATGATTAGGGAGCAGTAGGACATCAGCAGCAGGACGATAAACACGGGACCGTGCATCTGGGTCTGCGGTGGCCCCAGAACCTCCCACTCGGCCCACACCTCCAGCTTCTCCATGCGCGAGAACTCCTGCATGGAGATCAGGCGCAGGATATAGCCCGCGATCAGGACATGCATCACTATCACCGTGGCCACGGCAGATCCAATGGCCACATTGGAGTCGCTGATCCCGTAGAGCGGTTCCATTACCAAAAACTTAAAGGCGCAGAAGATCACCACGGGGAAAATTAAGAAAATGGCTAGGAACAACAGAAGCTGCTGCATACGGCCGAGAAAATACTGGGCTCGTCTTTTCTGCGGGGTATATACATATAGGAGATTAAGAATCAGTTAATGGGCTGCTCCTTCTATCAGCTGACCTTGACATTTGATTCATTTTCCAAGTCCCTTGAGAAGCTGGGTTCAGACGAAGGTCTCACTGCCTCGCTGCCAGGATAAGTCTTCCGGAGTTTGGCAAACATTTCTTTTCGGTTTTATTCTTGAACAAGGCTTTTTAAAACAAGGCCTACTTTTATATTTTCATAACTTAGCATATTGTTAAATAAATGTGACCGGAGTTTCATAAACAGAAATTTATTATTACAACATTTTGTAATACCTTTTTAATTACCACTCTTAGTTTTTTTTCCATCGAAACCATTACTTTTTCCCACATAACTTGACTTACAAAACAACGTTTAGGCTGTGTGATTTGGGGGATTAAGGAATTAGCAAACATCCAATTTCAGCAGGGTATAAAGATTGCCACCGCGCGAGGCAGAAATATCTGGTCGCATGACTGCACGACATGACAATATAGTAATTAGACTTGACTTAACCACCTCAGGAGCCAGAAAAAGAACACTTCTTCAGATTAGATAGGTCTAATTAGCCAGACGGAGGAATCCGGGAGAGCAGAGTATACATAGACTATCGGGGCGGACCCACCTGACCGATAAAGCTCTCAAATCAACGTCGTGATTTTTATGGCCACACTTGACTTGACCACCGCGCCCTCAATTTATAGCCAATGATTATTTTTGGGTCAGCTGACTTGAAGGGGAACGGGTGTTTCCCCAGCAAAATCATGAGTAAATTCGATTGCAATTCATAAATTCACAGTACTGCAAATCAGTTTTCGGATTTTTCTTTGTCATTTACGATTTCTTTGTCAGTTTTTCAAAGATAATTTTTTTTACTACGCATTTGATAGTAATAGTATTTTAAAGGATGAGTACATTAAACATTTTCAACGTTGTTTAAACAAGTACACTGAGCTCTTGACATATTTATTTTCAAGCATCAACTTCCTTTTGAATTATACTTATAATTTTATTATTCATCAGAAGAACATTTAAGACACACAAACATTTAATGAGCACATAGATTAGCTTTGATAAGCATACAGCTTTCGTTTTAAATTTATAATCTTATCTGCAATTTTTCCGCAAATTACTCATACGCAACGTTGGCCCATCGATTTAAATGCGTGCAAAGCAGACTAACTATAAATAAAGCCATACAAATTATCAGAATAGTAGTAAATATGATCAATAGACTTATCCAAAATACTTGAGCTAAATTTCAGTGAATCATGCTAATTTTAAGCAAGCCACTGTTATCAGACTCGACCTATTCTACATTCTATAAATATTTTGTTGAGCGATAAAGAAGACGCCATATTTGTGTTTTGGTTATTTGTATGGTTTTCGGATCAATTTGGCTGGCTGTCGTTGCCAAGGGCTAGAATGGCATCCCGAAATAGTACATGTAGCTCTTGTTCTAGCCATACTTTATGGTGTGCCAGAAAACTGGCCCCCATCCAAATGGCCAACAGCTGCGCTCAGTAGGGAAATCGTGAGAATAATGAAAATAATGAGAATTATGCCAAGTTCATATATGAATCGGGTCAATATCCCAAACACACCTCGACAGGTTGACAAGTGGGTGTCGAGTAGTTCGTTAGTGTGGGATGCTGGTCATGCAAATTGCAGGACAACTAATGGCAAAACTATTCAGCAATTCAGCTCTCTGAGGGAATCCAGATCCTTCCGGTTCAATTTGAAGAGTGTCCTTGAACCGAAGCTTAGCTATTTTACTTATTCATGCATTGGATTGCTGCTAACTTGTATGCATATGTGTATGGCAATTATGGTAATTGCCTTGTCTGGCATCCGCTTCCCGTTGGCGTATGTTTGTTTGCTATCTTCTACAGCCATGCCACCACCCACTTGCACATCCTGCCTGACCTTGACTGCAGTTTCCCCCTTTTTTTTCGAGGAGCCACAGGACACGCTCTATCCTTGACAAACACGGTGACCGTCACTTGAGAGTTGACCAAGTTTTATTGGTTTCCTTTGAGTGCCATGGATGGAAAGTTTTCCCCCCTTTGAACGGGTTCCAGGAAAATGCAGGGGGCGGTCCATCTTTTGTGACCATCGATTTCCAATTAAAAGTCCCTTTCCAGGGTCACTTTTTCCTCAAGTGTGTCTGTAAGTTGCTTGAACGCTGTGCACACTGTTGATACAGTAATTCAGCTGTTAGTGGTCCATTAACCATTATCCGATTTGCATACAAGGGAATTGTTGAGCTAGGAGACTTAAAGGGGATCACTCACTTAAAATGCACATCCATCACACAGGAGCGACGGTCAAAGGCACAGGCTGAGTTTAACGCTCTCGCTGGAATCACATGTATCATTCGGTGTTTCCTTCGGATGTTGCGGCAGGTCGGTTACTTCTATTTCGGGCAATCAGAATAAATTTATTTCTCCTCTGGGAGCGTACAACTTTGAACCGAACACGGCTCTAAACTATTTGCTGACCTTTGTGCCTGACCCTGGAAAATCTCACGCTCCTCTTCAAACACACACTTTTCTCCAGCAAATAGCAGCCAACAGACAAGCTTCAAATAACTTTGGTGACATGTGATGGATGATTGCTTGTCCTCACTCTGATTGCCATTGTTCTCTGTCCGGGGTCAAAGTGCGCCATAAAACAACAGGATGGCCCTCCCAATGAGTGTGTTCATAGGCTGAGGCAGATAATAGAACATGCTGCCGGGTTCAACTTCCTAGGAGGCACAGCTGAGCACATAAAATAATACAGCCATTAATAAGAGAAACTAACTTAATTAAATATAGCAAGGAATAAAGAATAGCTCGCCATTAAGCGAAAAATAAAAGTAGATAGGCATTATCTTACATATGAAACGCGTTTACTGCGTAAATCGTACTTGCACATACAAGTATATTATATAATAGTTAGTTATAATAGTTACAAAGTTATCTATTTATAATCTCATTAATTAAATATTCCGAAAAGGCTCAGAGAGTAGGTACAATTTACTTAACTTATTTCCTGACTTATTAAACCCCCATTTAGATAAACCAATTAGCCACCAGGCCAAATAGTCGCAGTCTAAAGTCTAGACCTGATCAAACAAATCTAGTTTACCCCAAATCATAGAGATGGTCAGGATTGCCCCCAGACTGAGTATGTGAAGTTCTGGAACCTCTTTGAAGGAGATAAGTCAATGTCAACTGTCATAAATTAATGCTTGCACTTGTCGCTAATATTTGCGCACAAATCCGTCAGCGAAAAGTCGCGCTGAGTCAACAGCAGTCATGCGCCAGCCAAGATCCAGATTCAGATACAGGTACAGATACAGATACAGATACTGCTCCAGATACAGATACTACGGGTAGCGAAATACCCCACGACGGTCGCGAGTCTGAATTTATGGATAGCTTTGTTGACCAGCGTGACAGGTGAGCCATCAGATGTCACCTGGCTCCTTACGCCAGTTTGCCAAACCAAAAACCAAACACCGTCGATGTCATAATCTTGCAAGCATTTCCTGGGCTTAACCCCGTATTTGAGCAGATAATATCCATTCGTGTTTGAACTTCGGGAAAATAGGAGCCTAACCCTCCTGACATCCCAAAGTCAGCTATAGTACATTTTTTGCATATTTATCATCATAAAACTGGCCTTAGTTCTTATTGCCTCGAGTTGATGGCTCATTAACATTAAAGTGACCGCTAAGTCACAAGGGGAAATCGCACACTCCAGATAAGTTTGGATTAGGGGTTTTGGGTTTGGGTTTGGGTTTGACTGGCGCAACTAATTAGGGGAAGTTCGTCGACACATGGGACCGCCATTAACGTCACACTATATCAGCTGATATCGGCAGAAAAGAATTTAGATTTGAGTATCACTTGAAAGCACTAAGGGCAATAAAGAAAAGTAATTAAATGTTAAGGTTTGTAATCGCACACGTTCCTTCGCATTTAATTTCTTGAAAGGTTATTTGATTAAAGCTAACAATGTTGCTCTTACAATGTTACTCAACCTTTAAAATTCATATATAGCTTCAACCAAACTAAGTTATGAGATCTGAAAAACATTCAATATATATTAAAAAATGAATTTTTATAATTATGAGTTGGTAACTTAGTAATTAATAGCATTGCCTACTTCAAGGCGACACTATACTTTAATAAAATCTCAGCCTGGAAAGCATTTAGTTCATAGTGATCTGCATTAAAAACCATTAATTATTTCAATTACTCCGATCACTGAACTAGTTATTAACATTTGATACTTCAATGGCATCTCGAATTGGATATAAAACATTTATTTATATTTATGCGCAAAATATCCATCACGTATTCTCATATAGAAATAGTTTTGATGCCTCTGAATTGTATTTGACCAATAAATCTTTTGATGTTGGCGCATGGGGATTTCTGCTATGAGTGAATACTATTTATATAAATTAAACTATTTCCGACTGAGGTGGGCCTTGTGAGCTTTCCTTGCAGTTGCGGCACGTTCCGAGTGCAGAAGGATTTTCTTTGGGGGATCAAATGCATCCTAGGTCACTTCTGGCCAGGTTGGCATGCAAATAGCGGTTGGTTGGCCTAGTCCACTTTTGTGGTGCAGCGTGTCATGCAATATTGGGTTCAATGGCCAGCCAGAGGTCATCGAAGGACGTCAGCAGGCTGACCCTTGCCAACCTCCCCCTCCTTCTTCGTTTCCATGCTGGGCACGCAATGACATTGACATGCGTTGGCTAACCAGGACGCTCAAGTTGCAGCCAATTGCCACCCCTCTCAGCCAAGCAGATCCACTGTACGTGCCCGTACTCATTTATTGGCCAATGGCACTTGTTAGCCAAGGCCTGAATTCACCTGCGAGTTGGCTAAAAATAACCACAAATAGTTCTCGCAACTAGGTCGTCGGCGAAAGTATGCAACACTTGGCCATTAAAATGAAAATTATACAACTCAAGAAACAGCAAGGCTCGTGCCAGGGATTACTTTAAAATCGAAGGACCAAACGGTAGGACTTTCATCCTTACATCACCCCTAAGCACATCCACGTGTGTCAGCCACGTGTGTTTGTCTCTGCTCATGCAAATAATTCAATCTACCTGATGGTTTCCAAGAGGGGCAATTCCCCATAAAAGCAGCTCATGAATTTCTTCGCCCTTT